GGTGGAGCCTAAGCCCAGTTTTGTAATTTTTTCATTACTGAGATAATTATTCTTATTTTGTTTGATTTAATATTTACTTAAAATGCATGATTTGGGGTTTTTTGGTAATTTTTTATGGTTAACATGACTATTTGCTAAAAATAATCAGATCTATTTACTTTCTTCTTTCAGTTAATTATTGCTAATGTTAATCATAAGTTTATTTTAAGGAATGTTTATTTTTTTTATTATTTTGTGGTCTATGGCTGCTTATTTAAAGGGCTCATCTCATGTAAAATAACTCTTTCCACATTGTATCTTCTGCACATAAACAAGCACAATTTGGGTTTTGGAACATCTATTACACAATAGTTCTGAAATCTTACTGATTTCTTGGAGACAGTCACAGACCAGGAACTATGAAAGGCCGACTATTGCGCATCCCCCCGTATGTCCTGAGAAAGCACAGGCTCCGCCCTCCAAACGTGACGTAGGCGACGAGTGAGCCGCCCTTCCTCCGCCCATCTCAGGGAGGGAGGGGGAGACAGACGTGCACCCTGATAGTGGTAGGAATAAACTTTTATTCATCATGGAGATACAGCGCGTTCAGCCGCATGTGTTGGATTCGGAATCGGACGAGGACTTTGAGGAGCACGAAGCTCAAGCACCGCGTCCACATCAACTGAACATTACTGATTGGTAAAGTATTAATAAACACTAGTAGATCAACTTATTATATCGTGTTCACTGCAGTGTGGAACAATGAGCTTATGCTGTCGCTTTTGTTTAGATGTTCATGTGGGAATTGTCACTCGAGGCGGGGCGGAGGTGGTGGAGCGGGGGGGGGGGGGGGGGGGGGGTGGGGGGGGGGGGGGGGGGGGGGGGGGGGGGGTGATGCTCTTTCTGCTACGTCAAACATGTCATAGGTGTATCTGCCGCATCATCGTTGTAGCAGCTTTAGTTCCTTGTCACGTGGGAGAGTGGCAGAAATACGCTGCAATTTGTTAAAAATCAATCTAAAACCACTTCGGCGACATATACACGCCCACACATCACTCTTAGGCTGTGTTCAGACTGCAGCCTGAAGTGACCCAAATCCGATTTTTTGTCTTCTATGTTCCTGTATCTGATCTTTTAACAGCAGTCTGAATGACACAGATCCGATTTTTTCAAATGTGACCCAGGCCACTTGGATATGTGCTCCTGAAACCCATACATATCTGATCTTTTGACATGCGACTTCAGTCTGAACGGCCAAAGTGCATTCATCCACCTACACGTTATCAACAAGACACAAACGTCATTATTCTGCGCTGAAGTAGGCGAAAATTGTTAATGAACTCCATGTCACTGAAGCGAAGCACATCACCACTCACCACTCTTGGCTCCGTCTCCACATCCACACGTTCCTTTCAACGGACGTCGCTGCCACTGTCCCACAAAACACCACGGCCAAAAACCTCGTCCTTCTCAATCTCCTCCTTAAAACAAGTAAGTTGTTCATGTTCTGGCTTCGGTACGAGGGGAACTTTAAAATTTCCAGGTGCTCAATGCTTGCGTCCATGTTTTTACAACTTCCGTAAACACAGAGCACGCTCGCTGCGGTTGACTTCGTCGTGTCTCCAATGCGCATGTGGGACACTTTTGGGCCATTTACTGTTCACACAGGGGCTCGCATACAAGTCACATTTAATTGCAAATGTGAACGACCTCGCACAAACATCAGATTTCACAAAACAATCGGAATTGAGCATTAAGCCCTGCAGTCTGCACGTAGCCTTAGAAGGTAGAAAGCTCTGAAAAGTAGATTTTGCATGAGGTGGGCCCTAAGACGAGTGCAGGTGCATCATGGGAGTGGAGCCAAACAGTTTTTGACCTCCTGTCACCTGTATGTTAAAGTTCCCCCTTTTGTGTGTATTTGTATGTCCTTAATTATCTGAATACTCAGGAAAGAGTTTTTACCTGCACTTGGATCGCTGTCTGTAGATTCTTTCACTTTTGAGGCATTTTAAAAGGTGGAACAAGGTGCTCAAAGTGTCAACTATGTCTTCACAAATGTTTGGACCTTACAATTAACATTTAGGATGAGTTCTTCTCTCTAACTGAATACACTCTGTTCCACCTTGTGATGTCATGTGGTAATACAAGAAGTTTCCACAATGTTTTTGAACTGTGTACACCTTCACTAGATTCAATTGGATCATTTCAGTCCTGGAATTGCCAATCTCTGCTGAAGAAAAGGTAAAAAATTAAAGGTTAACTTGAAAACTACCACTTCATGACATCACAAGGTGGAACAGAGCATTTTCAGGTTATCACACATAGACAGACTAATAAAAAAGGGTTACTCATACATGTGTGAATGAAACAAAACACAACTCCTGGTCTGTTTTTGAGGAGAGAACAGCATTATAACATGGCTCACAAGAGTCTATAGACCAACAAGGTCCACAAAGGACAAACATTCTTCATGAAGAATTTATCCACAACTATCAAGGGAAGAAAGAAGGGAAAAGGAGAACGACAATGCATAAGTGAACTCCTGAGCAAAACTAATGTTATGGTCATGAATAAAACATAAGTAACTTGTTAGAATGATTCTAGAATTACAGTTCATGATGTAGATATTTGCGTAAACAGAGAGATTTGTGCAGTTTAAATGTTCGACATGTAATCTGTGAACATCTGTAGCATTGAACCTGCACAAGTTTCTCTGTCTATGCTGATATCTACATCATGAAATCCATTTTTAATTTTAATTCTAGCATCAGTCTGACTTAACAAGTTACTTCTGTTTTATTCATGACCATAATGTTAGTTTTGCTCAGGAGTTAGGGTTAGGCTAATGCGTTGTCATTGTTCACTTTTACATTTTCGTCTTTCTTCCCTTGATAGTTGTGGATAAATGGTTCATGTTAGAATGTTTATCTTTTGTCAACCTTGTTGGTTGAAGATTTGGTGATGGGGCAGATTTATGAAGCTGCTGGTAAATACGCCAGACATTTCCATAGACATTTTGTCATAGAAAAGCGTTAACCGAGAGTTATGTTTACCAGACGTTGCGACACTTCCGGTCGTTGTGAAAAAGGTCGATTTTGTGTAATATAGGACCTTTAACTTCTGAAAAATAGCTGAATACAATAACATTTTAGTATTTATTTTTAGGTTTTATTGGCAACAAAGCTGATTTTTAACATCTGAAATAACTGCAGTGTAAATACGCCACATTATAATGCATGTTCTAATTGTTTTTGTTTAACAGCACATAATTGTGTTTTCAGCTGAGAGACAGTAGCTCGGTCGGTAGAGTATTCATCCACTGAAAAGAAAGATGGCGGTGTGACTCTGGCTCCCGCAGGTGAATGCTGTTGCTGTTTCCTCAGGCAAGACACTTAACCAACCTTTCCCTCAGTGTCTGTGCACACTCTATGTACTATGAATGTGACTGTGTGTGTGTGTGTGTGTGTGTACATGGATGGGTGAGTGGTTCCTTGATGTGAACAGTTTTGAGTGACTTGTTTTTTTCATATCCAAACTCAAACTAGACACGGCCTTTGTAACTATTTGAAGCTACACTGTGAGTAGACTTACACCCAATAATATTTACATCAATATTCCAGTCATTTGTGAAGCGTTCAGTTCACATATCTTAAAAATATCATATAAATAAACCCCAGAACTATAAGATTAGGGGACAATATAAAGCCACTAGGTAACTCTGACAAATTCCACTTTGGATTTTACACAGGCTAAATATTTTTCTTATTTAAAAACAGGCCTAGTGCCATTTGGCAAATTTAGATGTTAATAGTTTTGACATGATTTAACAGGAGATAGGATAAATTGAAAATAAAGACCCTGTGAAGATGAAGGTACACTACTGCCATCTGCTGGTGGGTTTTATGTTAGCAAGTAGTCTGTGCTCTCCAGTGGTAAATGTGAGTTCAATCTTTTTTTCATTATTGTTAATTGCTGATATTAAGATTTGGATAATGAATATGCATTACTTTTGTTGTCATTATATTTAATTAAACAAACATTAGGGTACTAAACTATGCCACGGCAGAGCCAAATGAAATGCAAAAAAAAAAAAAAAAGAAAAAACTTAATTAAAAGGGGGTATTATGTAAAATTACTTTTTACTATATAAATTATAACGTTCTTCCCTCATTAAAAACCTGCCTGAAGAAGTTTTAAATGTCATTCATGCATGCTCCCTATATGATACACATCAATTGTGTTGTGATAGCGCTCTGAAGGGGGAGTGACTTAGCGTGAGGAGCAAAGGGAGAGGTGACTCAGAGCATCAAAAATGAAAGCTAAACTTATAAAACTTGTTAATACGTTGTTTTCGGCGAATATATAATTTCCAAAACAATAAAAGGCAACATGGTGATCTAAATATGTGACGTGTTAGCAGTTAATACCCCACAGAAGTAAAATACCCCCTCTTTAAAGGTGCACTATGTAACTTTTTGGTTGAGGGTCCATCACATGCTTATTTGTGCGGATATGTTATTACACTGCCTGGAATGTTCCACAGTATGACATTAAACAGCTCTACCTTACATTTATTCATTTACTGATGATTTTGTTGCTCAAAGATGCCCAGAAAAACAGGAATTCTCACTGTGAGTGGGGTTGCCTCTCCACAGATCTGACCTATAGCTTGATCTGGTTTGGTCTCCATGAGGGTAAAAATGTTTAAAACCATACTGTCAAACATCCCAGACAAAGCAATAACATTTCCATGGAGAAAAGCATTTGACGGACCAGAAAAGTAAAGCATTTGTAACCAGATAAGTTATACAATGCATCTCTAAAGAAAAAAATAAAAAAGTAAAACATTTGTAAAAGTAAAGCATTTGTAACCAGAAAAGTTACACAATGCATCTCTAAACAAAAAACAAAATAAAAAGCAGTTTTCGCAGCGACCATTCAAAGAACTACAACTCCCAGCAACCCCCGCGGCACGCTCCCCAGCCTCCCGTGCGTAAATTGCGCCGTCAGTTTCCGGTGGAAGTGCCAATGGATACATGACACAGTTGTTTGGGGGCGAGAAAGCCTGTGTGCTCTCAGACCGATCACAACATTACCCGGCCCCGCACCCAGCCCCGCACTACCGGCGTGTGCAGGGCCGACCCACCGCGGCAACAGACCCCGCTGTCCGCCTCTGCCGCCGCCCGCAGCGATGGAGGCGGTCCCGCGGATGCCCATGATCTGGCTGGACCTGAAGGAGGCAGGGGAGTTCCAGCTGAGCCCGTCCGTGAAGCAGGTGAGCGGAGCGGGGCTGACACAGGAGAGACGGTCGACGGTAGTCTCCCATCGCGGATTACCGGGAGAGGCTAACCGGATCACCCCGAATAAAAGACGTTAAACCCGCGTAGATGTCCATACAACTGGACGCGGACACATGGCGAATATTCCAGAAGAAGTAGCTTTCGTGCTAGTTGCTAATTAGGCTACTTTACTACGCTTTTCGAGACCAACGCCTTTGTTTGCTAACGTTAGCTTGTAGCATTTAGTTCACATTAAGAGAATTATCACAATAGATGAGTTGTTATTTTCTAATTTGGATATTAAATCGGCTAAAACGCACATTAAAGCGTTAGGTAAGTCGCTAGCATGGCTTCCAGGGATTTATCTAAAAACAATCAACAGGAAAATCTCGCCTGGTGATGTCACTGTCACATGCACCTTACTAAAAAGATCACACAGGGCAGCAGCTCTACGTGGCCAGAAATAAGAACAATTATTATAAATAAGTTCATTTTAGAGCCGGTTTAAGACACCAGACATTTGTAAACAGGTAGAGTAAAGTAGATTGACCACGTCCATATTTACCAGGTACAGTCCCAGTTTTGATCCCTGTGTCCCCTGTCCCTACAGATTTATACAAAATCAGTGATTTTTCCCAATTTTATACAAGAAGTGTCCCTACTTTTGACCAATTTGATCCCTGCCAACAATAAAGAGATGCATACATTTTTATTTGTTTAGGTAAAATACAGAAAAACTGCTTAAGACCCACTTTAACTCTTTGGCTTTTAACACAGTGTGAGTTGTGTGGGCCTTTTTTTACTTTTATTTAATTGTATTTGTTATCATTATTATTTTATTTTATGTTTTATTTTTTAGCTCTATGCACTTTAACGCTTTTTATTTACAAAATCTGCCTTTATAAAGAAAGTGGATTGGATTTAATAAAAAATGACCAAAACACAAAGAAAATGTGACTATAGTGACTTGTTAGTATACATGACATGTTCTGCATGACAGTTTTCCTTAATTATGCACTGGTTTTACAATTTTATTATTACCAACCACCAAAAAAACAGGTTGTCCCAGTTTTTTATTTTTTTTTACTGGTCACCCTGTTATAAAGAGGAGTTGTAGCTTTGGGCATAGTTACATTCAATCTCCCCTGATCTTGGATAACTTGTTGATGTTTTAAGTAAAAAAAAAAACAACAATATTGTGACAGAGGAGATTGGTGTATGCATATTTTTCAGTTTATGAGTGCATCTTCTCAATTTTAAGGGCTAATTTTTTCGACTCTAGGTTATAATGTAGTTTCCTCATCACAAACATACCTGGAATTGTTTTGTTTCATTCACACACGTTTAATACACAAACCCTACAGATTCAGGCTGAGTTCTTCTTTGAAACACTCGCAATGTCATACAGAAAATGCTTCACTCACTCACACTCACTCACTGTTTTTAAACTCTATCCACCTTCACTATCACTATTTTGATTGTTTCAGATCTGGAATAGACAATTCTAGCTGAATCAAAGTTAAAAGGAAGCTGATAACTTGAAAACTACTGCTTCCTGATAATAAAGTAGTACTCAAACGTGTGTGAAAGAAACGAAACACAACTCCAGGTCTGTTTTTGATGAGGTAACAGCATTCTAACATGGCGTAAAGCTCACAAGAGTCAATATAACATTTCATTTTGACATCACTAGCTGCAATAAATAAACATGAAGTTAGTTTGTATCTATATTGAGTCATAGAAGTCATTTGTTCAGAAGTCTACAACTCAAATCTTACTGTGCGCAGAAAAATAACGGAAAGTACCTTACTGTCCTCGTAGGTACACAAACCATGATAAATATTCAGCCTAAACAGTATTGCTGATCTTTTTAACGTTAACTTGATGCAGTGATTGTTGTGACAGGCCTATCCTTGTTCTTGTAACAATTCCAGTAACTTGTATTCTCCCTTTGGTTATATATTGACCTATATTTCATCACCTTCTTGGGTTGATAAAGGTAGTGTTAAAGTTGTGCAATACAAATGTTTTAACTATGAATGAATATGAATATTTGAAGTTGTTTTTCTAAAGTTTTTGAGTGCGCACATAGAAGTAATGGTGAAATCACGCTTGGTCAAAGTAAATGCTGCAGATCTTTGCCCTCTGTGATATTGTTGATAATAATTTACTGCCATAACTCTGCGTCCACCGGCACCTACTGGACACTAATGTCTTTTTGAATGCATTTTCAGGAGAGAGAGCTTTTTAAATGGTTGACAAATTGGAAAGTGTTGTGGACAAAAACATGACAGTGCAAGAAATACTATGAACAAAGTCTTTAATCATTGTAACAGAGTATTAACTAGGGTTACAAGTTAATTATAGACTGTATAAATGGACATGGCTAGTAGTGGAAATGTACATACATGGAGACACTTCTGGCTCCATCGACTCGATTTTGTATTGAAAAATTGCTACTGTCAGGCTCCTTATTTTGGTCTTAATATGTTGTATAACCTGCTCTACATGTTTGTATTTCACATTTTTGTCCATAAATCATTTTCTATTCCTAATATGAAACTTGGCTCCAAAATTGCTTCTATAACTGTTATCCTCGTTGAGCTTCATTTGACTGGAGCCAAACGTTATGGGTGACGTCACACTCCCTTAGTCCACTTCAGTCTTTAGCAGGGCGGGCAATTATTTTTTCCATGGGGCCACATGAGAAACAGAAAATATTGTGGAGGGCCGGGCCAAAATGCTTAACTCAATTCTACATAATATTAATTCTATTTCTCTATAAAAAAAAAACAAAAAAACAAAACAAAACTGTAAATATCATTGTTTTGACAAGTTGGTCAGACTGGTAAGAGTTTATGTTATGACTAAGCAATGAAAAAGTGAGGCTGCCTTGCAAAAATGTAATTAAAAAAAAAAAACACCTCTAAAATGAAAGCAATGCAGCTTTAGTCTATGCATGAGGAAAATGATAAAATATGTGTATTTTATAATTCCAAATTATCTTAAATGGGCCGGTCAGAGTCAACCAAACAACTGTATGTGGCTCTGGAGCTGGACAATGCCCAGGTCTGGTCTATAGTTACATTAAAAAATCATTTTGATAATATTAGTTAATTAAGTCAGTAATTAATTTTTCCAATTTAAATGTTGTCTTTGATTTTTTTCCCCCCCAGTTTATCTTGAAGAATTATGGGGAGAACCCTGACAACTACAATGAACAACTGAAGAAGCTGGAGACACTGAGACAGGTGAGTACAGGCCTCATCTTCTGGAGACAGTAGCTCAGTTGGTAGAACTTTTGTCCACTGATCTGAAGGTTGCGTGGTTCAAATCCCATTCTTGACATAAACACCATTGGCCAAGCGGTCAGATCCACTGACTCACAGGTTGGTGGTTTGATTCCAGCTCCTACAGATTATTGCTGTTGTCGTGTCCTTTGCCAAGACACTCAACCCACCTCTCTCTCAGTGTCTGTGTACCCTGGTGTATGAATGTGTGTGTGTGTGTGTGTGAATGGGTGAGTGGTTCTTTGATGAAAAGCACTTTGAGCCTTGAAGATTGACAATCACTGTTTAAAAGTAATCACTTATAATCAGACTAGGTGGTATGGCACAAAAATTAATCACAATAAATTTTTGCTGAACATATTGATTGAGCTTGATTTAATTTTTTTCAAAAGCAAAATTCACTGTTGATTAAATCTGTGCAATTTAAAACTACCATCTGTAACTTGATTAGATTTTCTTTGCCTGTAGATGGTATGACAAACTAAAACAATAAAAGAACATTTTTATGCGATGCTCTGTGGTTGTATCATGTCTTCTTTATGCAAATGAAAACCAAACGAGCGCATCACAAAGTTTGCAGCTACTTTTCATATCCAAGCACTTTGCGTCTCTTCAAGCATCTCTGTACAGTGGCCCTGAACACAAACTCACTGTGAGTGCTGTGTTTTCCAGAGCGCAGTGAATGTCACCCGGGACTTTGAAGGATGCAGTACTCTGAGGAAGTACTTTGGCCAACTGCACTATCTCCAGAGCCGTGTGCCCATGGGCCCGGGGCAGGAGGCAGCAGTGCCCATCTCATGGTGGGCAAAACACAGACACACAGACACACACACACACACACACACACACACACACACACACACACACACACACACACACACACACACACACACACACACACACACACACACACACACACACACACACACACACACACACACACACACACATACACACACACCCACACATGCACACTGACTGCATTCTCTTTAAATAGGAGTCACTGGCACACACTTTACTTATTATTTTTTTAAATTCAAACTTTTTAAAAATATCTGCTGTTAAAAACATGGTTGTGGGTTATTCCACAGTTTGGGGATTATCCTGATCATTTTTTGCGATCCATTAGAATTCTGCTAAATTGTGCCTATTACTGTAAGAATACTAATTATTTGACAGATCACAAGTTTCTGTTTTTTTTATTTTTCATAATCTGGCACTTGCTAATTGGCAGTTTTCTTGTAGAAATAGAATAGTAAAGTATAATATAGTTTTGAGTATTCTTTAAAGCACAGCATGTAACTTTCTGGAGGTGACACATCGCCTGCATGACTCCATGGAAATGGAAAGCCAGATCATGGAGACAGGTTTTATGCCGTACTGTGGAATATTATATTATAGTCAAAGGAACAACATTTCCGTGGAAACAAGCAGGAAGAGGCCTTCCTCCAGCCCAAATTAGAGTCTGGTTTGTTTGTCTTGGTTTGTGGAGATCCAAGCCCACTCACAGAAAGGAGGCATGTTTTTACACATTTTTCAGTGCAGTAAACACTCAAAAACCACCCAAAATGATAAAAACAATGTTTACGTCTATTTCTGGACTAAAAAACACATACTGTGGCTGTAAATACAAAGGGCCTTAAATAGTTTTAATTATACACAACATCCTCCTCTTTAATTTAGCATATATCCAAAACAGCATTTGTAATATTTTTCAATGTATCTTCCACTTTTAGTTAATAATATTTCACACATGCATATTTTCTCACCATACTGTCACATTAACCCATTTTTAAATGTAATAAAAACTGAACCAAACCAGACTTAAACAGGATCAAAACAAGGACACTGTATTTTCACATTCAGGCTCAGATAGATCAGATAAAAGACCTTTTTATTGCTCTGATGTGATGTTCACTTTACAGTTTAGTGATTTACAACGTACATCGAGCTGGACCATCAAATCTATGCGCTGCTAATTCAACTCTTCATTTATTATTCATGTGACACAAAATTGTTTCATTTTGAATAATTAAAACGTGGTGCATCGACTCAGAATTATCAGAGCCTAAAACGAAAACATCTGCAAACTTAAATTATTTAGTTTGAGCTGTGCTGTCCTAGTTTAGAGTTTTGGGGGGCTATTTAGACACATTAAATATGAAATTGAACAAAAAATATATGAAAATAATACAATTGTATCCTCCATAAAATCACAGAAGATGATAGTTTACAAAGTTAATGTTCTTTTGCTCTTTTGCAATGGTTTACAGAATGTATAAAAAAAATTCTATTCCTTAAAAAACACACAGTATATTTAAAAATGTAGAAAGTAGCAAAGAGTGTTTTGAAACCTTTCACTGTTATTTAAAAAGCAGCAGCAGTCAAAAGTTTGGACACACGTCTCATTCAGTGTTTTTTACATTTTTTTAAATTTATTTTGTGCTACTATTTACATTTTTGATGTAAGCAGTATATATGAAATTATTTAGTAAAGAAAAAAGTTAAATAATCATATTTTTCGACAAAGCAAAGGGTGAATACTTTAATCATAAAATATATAAGAAAACATTTAGTATTTACCTTTTTTGTTACATAAATCCATATATCTTACTTAATATACGGTATTTGATGTCTTCTATCTGTGTATAAAATGTAGAAAGTTGTTAAAAATAAAGCACAACATTACATAAATATTTAATTATCATTTATTAGAGTTATCAAATTAAAGCATTTGTACAAAGCTAAAGGTCCGTCGTGTTGTAATGTTGTTACCTCCTCAACAAACATACCTGGAGTTGTGTTGTGTTTCATTCACATTCATCTTTTATTATTGGTATAAGTTAACATCGTCCTTTTACATTTAATTAAGTAAAGATGGGAAATTCTAGAGCTGAAATCATCCAAATGATTCTAATGAAGTTGTATGGAGTTTAAAACACAGTAGACCACTTCCTGTATTACCACATGACATCACAAGATGGAACAGAGTGTTTTATGTTTGAGAGAACTCTCAAACTGAAACTAAATCTGCAGGGTTTGTGGGAATGAAAGAAAACACGACTCCAGGTCTCTTTGTGATGAGGAAACTACATTATACCAGAAATCAGAAATAGTCTAATATGGGCCCTTTAATAGAATTTCCCTTCTCTTTTCCAGGACCGAGATCTTTTCTGGAAAAACTGTAACACATGACGACATCAGCTACGAGCAGGCCTGCATCCTGTACAATCTGGGTACTGTTTCACACTCATCATGTTTTTAGCCATTTGGAAAATTGAATGAAACTTGGTGATATGGAACATTTTCTGTATTTAATTCTATTGCTCTGTGGATGATTCCAGGGGCCCTTCACTCTATGCTGGGAGCCATGGACAACCGAGTCTCAGAGGAGGTAACACACCGCATTATAATTAATTTTTTTCACGATAAAAGCATTGATTTTTACTCTTAAAAACAGAACTAATTTCATTTTTTATGTAAATGGCCCAAATTACACTATTTGATTCTGATTTATGTTATAATGCTGCTTCATTCACATATTTAACACACAAACCCTACATATTTAGGCTGTGTTCTTCTCTTAAACTGAAAACACTCCATCTTCCACCTTCTGATGTCATGTTGTAATACAGGATGTGCTTCACTGTGTTTTTAAACTCCACACACCTTTATTAGAATCATTTTGATCATTTCAGCTCTGGAATTGCCAATCTCTTCTAAATAAAAGGTAAAGAAGCTGTTAACTTGAAAACTACCACTTCACGACATCACAAGGTGGAACAGAGCATTTTCAGCTTTGGAGATATAGACAGACTAATAATAGAAGGTACAGGCCATTTAACACCATAATCTAGTCAACACGTACTTGAGATGGACCATGTTTAGTTTGTGAAGTTTGTGCTTTTGACAGTGTTACTTGTAAATACATACAGTAGATTAGGAGTGTAACGAGATCGTCACGGTTTGAACCTCACCGTACGATATTTATTGTGATATCGTAGGAAAGCTCACGATATGGTGGGGAGGCACATGATTAGGGATGTAACAATATCCAAATCTCTAGGTACGATATTTTCATGTACATCTCACTGTATGATATTTATTGTGATATTTTGTGGAGGCTAAAATGTCTTGACAAGACTTAATCCAAAGAACTAAGACTTAAAAGTGCTTAGAACTGTTATTTCTTCATGTAATCTACATTGAAATGGAGCTAAGGAGTCTATGTAGTTCCCTCTGTGTTTTTTAGCTATTGCTGCATCATAATTCTTCACTTAAGCAAAGAGACTTGTAATTCGATATATTATGATGGTCCACGATATTATTGTGAGAACGTTGATGATACAATATCACGATATTTCGGTTATTGTTACATTCCTAACATGGATACACATAGTAAGAGAAAGGAATGCCATAATCTCATTTTAAACTGTTGTGCTGGTGTGTTCTCAGGGAATGAAGGTTTCGTGCACTCACTTCCAGTGCTCGGCTGGAGCCTTCTCGTATCTGCGTGACCACTTCAGCCATAGCTACAGTGTGGACATGAGCCACCAGATCCTCAACCTCAACATCAACCTCATGCTCGTAAGTCACTGTCACTCTTACAGCCATAGACTGAATATACTGTACAAACGGACAGAGCTAAACTCCACCATCAACTCCAGCTCTAATTCAATTTGTGTTGAACAACTGTCACCCCTCTCTCTGAAACTGCAGCTGTCAGACTCATATTGTTCTTAAAATTCCCAAAGTGGGAAAAAAATTGCTCCTAAAATTCACTCCTATAACTGTTAGACTTGGTGAGCTTCATTTGACTGGAAACAGACACGGGGGGATGTCGCACTTACTTATGTCTACTTCTTTATACAGTCTGTGGTTACAACCAACACAGGCATCTGAACAAGAAAAAAATGCATAAGGAGGACAAAGTGTGGACTGAATAATTTTTGAATGGGAAATTAGTATAAGGTCGCATGGTAATACTAAAGACTCTATGGTGATGCTATTGGTGGTTTTCAGATTCTGTTGGTTACATTGTACTTTGCCATGAAATATCCAAAAGGTCCATAGTAATGCACTAAACTTATCTACTGTTTCTCCTAAGAGACAAGCAGGTGATGCCATCAGGCCAAATTACAGGTCAAATGTGTGGAGAGGCGACCGCACCTACAGTCAGTATGTGCTTTGTACTTTTGGTTATTCTTAACCCCGTGAAGGCACACCTGTGAAGTGAAGACCATGTCAGGAGACTTCCTCATGAAGCTCACTGAGAGAAGGCCCGGGGTTTGCTGTGCTATTGATAAAGGGTGGATACTTTGAGGAATTTGAATATGAAATATAAACAAATATTTATCAGAGTTATTTAACATATTTTTCTTTACTACATAAGTACTTACATACATTTGATGTTTTCTTTATGTATGTAGGAAGTTCTAAAAGAGATGATGCGTCTAAACATTTGACTGGTAGTGTATTTGTATGTCAGTGTTATTTAACCAGTCTTCAGAGTGTGTGTTAACAGTCATGTGACTGTGTGTCTTTAGGGTCAGGCCCAAGAGTGTCTCCTGGAGAAGTCCATGCTGGACAACAGGAAGAGCTTCCTGGTGGCTCGTATCAGTGCTCAGGTGAGACAGAGGTTTGAGAGGAGAGCAGGTATGAGACAGATGTGTGTTTGTAACTGTGCGTGTTTTACAGGTGGTGGATTATTACAAAGAGGCGTGCCGAGCTCTGGAGAACTCTGAGACTGCCTCCATGCTGGGAAAGATTCAGAAGGACTGGAAGAAACTGGTCCAGATGAAGATCTATTACTTTGCTTCTATTGCACATGTGAGTGTGATGTCATTGTGTTTCAGTGATTATGGTGCTCAGACGAGCTGATGGTGCAGATTAGCAGCCTCACTTCCAGGGCAGCTATGGCAACAATGGTAGCTAGTAGTGAGTTAATTTATAACATTATATATTTTAACAATTTGAAAATATTTTTATATTAATTAATATATAATTTAATTTATATAATTATATATACATTTATATATTGCCTTTCAAGACACGTAAAGCACTTTACGGTGAATTATTCATCCACTCCATACTATTGTTACCACAGCTGTCCTGGGGCAGACTGAGAGGCTGCTAGTCTGTGCCATTAGCCCCTCCAACCACCACCAACACACACCCCACTGGCACCCCACTGTGGCGCTTGATATTCCCAGTGGTCTCCCATCCAAGTACTGACCAGGCCCAGCTCTGCTTAGCTTCTGAGGTCTGTCGAGATCAGGCTTTGATAAGGAGGTTTGGCCACAAATAAAAAGTGTACATTAAAGTAGAAGTCTGGTTACAAACAGAAATGGTTTACCTAAAGTTATTCTGTGTGATTATACCTTTATTGCTTTGAGTTTTTTTTTTTTTTTTTTAAACCAAGTAGCAGGTCACTATAAGATGTGAACTTTGGAATTTTTATCATACACACACAAAAAGGTTTCACCCCAGTGTGTCAAAAAGTAATCTGTTATTTGATTCATAGCCGTTGTTGCCACCAGAGGGCGCACAAAACATGGTGTATATAAACTGCCCTTGATCAAGCAGTGTCTTTCCCACAGACTTTATTCAATCCACAACAGTCTGTCTTAAGGCTATTAACTAACTGTTTTAAATTTTATTTAATATAGCCCTCCCATTTTCTATGTTTTTAATTTTTGACTTTACATTTCTGATTCATTTCACCTTCCAGCTCCACATGGGGAAACAGGCGGAGGAGCAGCAGAAGTATGGAGAGAGGGTGAGTATGCTCCTCCACTGCACGGACACACTGGTCACTTCTTCTGTTATTCTAAATGATTTTGTGTCTCTAGGTGGCCTACCTGCAGAGCTCCCTGGACAAACTCAATGAAGCAATCAAACTGGCCAAGGTAAGACAGTTTTAATGCTCCAGTCATGAGCACATTATGGCCCTGTATCCAATTTACATCAGTGTATTAGAGCAAAGTGTGTCTTACCTCAGTACAGATATGTGGTATAAGCATAGACTGTACACATAAAAGGACATAAATAACCTGCCAAGTTCCAAATAGGAATTGAGCATGGGCGCACTTCCGGTTCCAATGACTCTGGCTCCAATTCAGATTGTATTGAAAAACGTTACCTTACTGTGTAACTGCTCCTGTCAGATTCCTCATTTTGTCTTAAAATGTTCATATTAACCCGCTCTTTGTGATCCTGGTGTTTATATTTCATTATTTTGTATGAAAATCAATTTGTATTCCTAAAAAACAAACTCTAAAATTGCCCCTATAACAGGTAGAATTGGTGAGCTGAATGCTGTGGGTGACGTCCACTTCTTTATACAGCATCTATATACAGCATGTGTCTGCATCTAATTATAGAGTGTTTTTGTCCAATAATCTGGAAGTGTGCTGTTGGCATTCTAATTGCTGTTGGCATTATCGTGACAGCAAACTGTGCTTTGGCCTCATAAAGTCAAAAGCGCATATAAACTCAGCGTGGTTAATAATGAGGATGATTTGAATAAGGCAAGTGAGGAATAACTTTGGACCACCGCAAACCGTAAACTAAGACAGTAACTATCAGGTCCAGCTCCTTTAGTAATAAAAATATCTCTCTATAAATTTTGCTGTGTGTTCTTCTTTCCTATAGGGTCAGCCTGACAGTGTGCAGGAGGCACTGAGATTCACCATGGATGTCATTGGTGGAAAGTAAGAACATAGAACTGTGTGAATACTGTTGAATCTGAGTAACTTGTTTATGTAATTTCACACACAGGTTTAACTCTGCAAAGAAGGACAATGACTTTATCTACCACGAGGCTGTTCCTGCCTTAGAGACTCTCGCTTCCGTTAAAGGTGAGAGAAACAACATAAAACATTGAGTGATAAACATAAAACAGAGTACAGACTGTTGCGTCCTCAGGCATGATTTTTCATTGTGTGGCTTAGTCCTGTATTTGTAATCAGAAGGACATCTGGCTTAAAACATGATCTGTCTGTAAAAACGTTTTGAAGCATTTTATTTTTAAATAACTTCTGTTTTCCTTTTGTGCACAAAGGCGCTCCTCTGGTGAAGGCTCTCCCAGTGAACCCCACAGACCCCAGTGTGACCGGGCCGGACCTGTTTGCCAAACTGGTGCCTATGGCAGCACATGAAGCCTCCTCACTCTACAGGTCACCATAATATACACCTTTAGCCAAACCCTATGATTTTTTAAAACAGAAGTTACAAATGTAAATACAGTTCTATGGATGACAGATGAGGGCGGTGCTCAAAGCTTTGAATGATTCCCTGTGCATGAACGATGGGAACAATCAGTGCTTTCATCATCCCCATCTGTCAGAAAAGATGAAGTAAAACTAGAGATACTTCATTTAAAATGTAATATATTTTCTATGTTTTAGTGAGGAGAAGGCCAAGCTGCTGAGAGATGTGATGGCCAAGATTGACAGCAAGAATGAAACGCTAGAGTAAGTAAAAATATTCAATAATAAATACTATGGTATTATTATTATGGTATTACAAAGTGGTATTATTGTAAAGGAGGTTCATTCTCTAAATAAGTGGCACGAGAGACAGGGGCCTCAATATTTGTGCAGGACAAAAGAGGGACAGGTGCTGATGCTTCCCTCACCGTACTATACTGTAAGTAAAAACAGACTAGATTAGAGCTGCAGTGTGGCATACCACCATAACATGCCTGTGCCCCACAATTTGAGAGCCCTGATTACTGCTTGTGTATTCAGAGCAGTGTTGAGTGCTGTGTTGTGTGTTTTGTTGACAGACAGTTCATGGACTCTCTGGGCCTGGAGCCGGACTCTGTGGATAATCTGGACATGTACAGCCACATCCCCCCGGTGCTGATGGAGAAATGTGCTGCTCTGAGCGTCCGACCAGACACAGTGAAGAGCCTGGTGCAGTCCATGCAGAGTCAGTGCAAACCAGCTCCTAAACACACACAACCACACAACTCTTCTCATACATATAGACAGATTATTTGGTTATCAACAGAGCGTATACTCGCACAACCTGAGTGCTGAACGTGCCGCTGTCTTCGCACTAAAACAAGTTATGATGCTAAATGAATGTGTTAAATGTAGGTGAGCGCTATGTGGTCACTGATATCCATAATGTGCTTGTTTTAAGCCCAAAAAGCACATTCAAAACTCAATACTCTGCTGAATGTTTTAAAACTTTGTGGTACATAAAGTTTCAGAAACAGATTTTAAATAATATTATAGCTCTGTGGCTCATTAGTTTCACAGAGCTGATTAGCCCTGAGCTTTTAAACATTTAATATACTTTTTTTTTTTTTTTTTTTTTTTGAAAGTTTGGGAAAAATTAACGGCAAAATTCCAGAACTGGGGAGTGGGTGGTTGCAGTTGTGCTCTAAGAATATTATACCTGACACATGTGGCATATATTAGATAAACAGAAACTGAAAACAACTCTTTTTATATTCACTTAAACCTCTCTCTACCTCCCAGTGCTGTCGGGAGTCTTCACTGATGTGGAGTCCTCACTGAAGGAGATCCGTGACGTCCTGGAGGCAGATGAGGCGGGGGAGCGGGCAGTGCAGGAGGCAGTGGGGGCCGGGGCTTTGACCGAGCTCCACCCCCCTGCGCAGGCTCAGGCGCTGGCAGAGATACGCAGGGACCTGGAGAAGTACATGGAAGCTCACGATAAAGCCAGCTTCACCAACACAGAACTGCACCGAGCCATGAACCTGCACATCCACAACCTGCGACTGCTGGGAGGACCCCTGGACAGTCTGAGGGAGGCCCTGCCCAGCCCACAGCTCTCTGAAGGTGAGAGGGAACCAAGCAGGTACCAGGGCAGTTAACTCTGTACAGCCCAGCACCATAACAGCAGCCATCTTACATGGTGTAGACTTGGGCCTGAAATGGTAATAAAACTATCATTTGATTTAAGCCTTAAGTTGAAAGTTAGATCATTTCTGTAGTTTATGATCAGGGACGTTTCATTAACCAATGCCTAATTAAATAATAATGCACTGGATTTATATAGCGCCTTTCACAGAGCAATATTCATTCACTCCACAGTCTGGTGGCGTGTACTGTAGCCACAGCTGCCCTGGAGCAGACTGACAGAAGCCAATAACGGCACATAGGCAGAAGTGTCTTGCCTAAAGACACAACATTTTGCACTAGAGACACTGCTGTCCCACTGTTGCTCCTGGTATTCCCAGAGGTCTCTTATCCACAAACCCGGTACTAACCAGATCCAGCCCTGCTTAACTTCTGATCAAACGAGATCAAACTTTGACCAGCTGAAGGTCTGAATGTTCCTTACTGTTCTAATGTATCTTGCAGATAACTGATTCTAATCAAGTGTTAATGTTGGAGAAATCCTTGTCCATTTACACACAGAGGATGTTGTTGCTTGTTTTTAAAGTGAATTCCATTATTGAGTTCTGTGTAAACCCAAATTATGGTTTACAAATATTGTAAGCTGCACTAGTTATTGATGTATTATGAAAGTATGTGATACAATACAATACAAACAAAGTCAGTGTATAGTGCATTTCACATGTGTTTTGTGTTCCATCACTGTACTTAATGCTGTCAAAATCAAGGGTGTTCATTTACCATTTGCATTTTGTCTCTAGTCTGTGTAGTAGTTTTCTGTGAAGTCTTCATTGACTCTGTTGTCTTTTGCAGAGGAGGTGGCTGGACTGCAGACGATGAAACGAATCCTGGGGAAAGTGCAGGAGATGAGGGACCAGAGAAGCTCCTTTGAAAAGCAGCTACGAGACCTGATCCAACAGGACGACATCACATCCACCCTGGTGACCACAGAGAGGGCAGATATGAAGGTATGGACCTGTTTTAGATGGTTAAAGGTGCACGGCATAACATTTTTAGTTGAAGGGTCTGTCACCTGCTTGTCTCCATGGAAATATTCTTGTTTTCCACAGTATAGATTATCTATCTGATCTGTAGAGTCCCCCCTCACAGAAGGAATGATTGTATTTTTAAGCAATAGAAATGCCCCTAATGAATAAATGCTGGATGGATATGGTTAATGTCATACCATGGAACATTCCTGGCAAAGCAATAACATCTCCATGGACACAAGCAGGTAATGGACCCTCCACCAGAAAAGTTGCACAGTGTAACAGTCCATCACAAATAATTAGAATATCATGAAAAAGTTCAACATTTTTTGTCACTCATTACAGAAAGTCAAACCCATATATTATGTAAACTTATGACACATAGAGTGAAATATATCAGGAAAAAAAAAAATCAGAAAATGAGATATTAGATACATATTTAAAAATATGAACAAATATCATGAGATCTTGATGAGGTGTGATCTTCTGTCCACAGCGGGTTTTTGAGGAGCAGCTAAAGAAATATGAGCAGTTAAAAGTTTACATTGATCAGAACCTGGCCGCTCAGGAGAACATACTGAAGGCCCTCACTGAAGCAAACGTGCAGTACGCCTCTGTGCGCAAAGGCCTGAGTCAGACCGAGCAGCAGTGGAACAGCACGGTGCAGGGGCTGGTGGGCTCCTACGAGGCCTATGAAGATCTGATGAAGAAGTCTCAGGAGGGAAAGGACTTCTACGACGATCTGGAGACCAAAGCATCTCGTCTGCTGGAGAGGGCCAAGGCTCTGTGTCAGACCAGGGCAGAGGAGAGGAAGCCCATACTGGACAGGTGTGTACAACAACAGACAAAAAGTATTTTAAATTAGAATGTGGAGTTTTGTTTTTTTTTGTTTTTTTTTTTTACTAAATTATTTTGTGACAGTGCTATAATTTCGATATTTGGTCAGAGAAAGGAAACTTGTTCATGCAACAGACTTGGTATAGTCACTGTTTTAATGGTTACAACAGTTTTATTCAGTACTGACTTGCACATTTAGTGGTTTAACAAAACATACTGTTTTTAAAAAGTTTATAGAATATCATGTGTGTTATATATTTATTATAGCATCTATTGACATGAAGATAAAATTATAGCATGAGCTATGGACCCTGTGTTTCCAGCCCTAATTAAGAAGTTGCAGGTACATGCATACCTGAATACACAGGCCGTGGTACCGTGCATATCTCAATATCAGTTTGATACAATTCAATACGTTGATATATTTTAACTCAATTCACTACGGTTCAATAAAAAATAGAGGCTAAATCATGGCTGTGATACTAAGTCTTTGGTAAACCACTGCCTCTGCAAAGTTCATATGAAACACACTCATTTTAATCATCAAAATGATGCACTCTCTAATTCTTGCCCCGTTGTTTTCAGAGATCAGAAGAAGCCCCCGGCTCGGCCCACAGCTGCCAAACCGTCCCTGCAGCCCAAGGCCCCTGACGCAGACTCTGCCTGCTCCAGTCTGGAGGACGCGGAGCTGGCACAGCTCAGTGCTGCCATTTTGGCTCTAGGGGGCGACCTGCCTGAAGAGCTGCGGAGTCTGCCCCCTGACATGAGCGCTTTGGCCCCCGGAGCCCCCCGTGTGCCCGGCCCTGAGGCCTTCCTGCCCCCTGGCACCAGCACCTCTCTGCCCTGGCCTGGAGCATCCCCTGCTGCTCTGCCCCGTTTCCCCGCCAACCTGCCCCCCCCAGAGCTCCTCGCCCGCATCGCACAGTTCCCCACATCTGGCTCTCTCCCTGGCACCCAGGGCCCCCTCCCACACAGACCTGTGCCTCAGATGGCCCCACACATGCGCCCACAAATACCCCCTCCTCAGATGTCCCGTCCACAAATGCCGCCTCCACAGATGCCCCCTGCTCATATGCCCCCTCCACAAATGCCTCCACAGGCTGCAGTTCCCAGATATCCTGGACCCCCTCCCCAAGGACCCCCCTCTTCCACAGTGGTGCCCACGCCAGTGCGGCCCTCCACCACCACAGTGAACACTATCCAAGCTCCCATCCCCAGCTACGCCCCCACGCCACGTCCCGCTGTGCCCCCTCCAGCTTCCACAGGTTACACTATGCCCCCTCACATGGGGGGGTACCCACAGTACATGTCCCAGCCAGGGATGCCCATGCCAGCCCCTGGACAGGCACCTGCACTGCCACCTGCACTCCCACAGCAACAACAGCAACAACCAAAGCAGTTCCCCCCGGCTCAGGTGTACCCGGGGCCCCACGCCCCTGCCCCCCAGCCTTACCCTCATGGGTACATGCCCCCACAGCCCGGTATGCCCCCACACTATCAGCAGACATTTACCCCTCAACAGAACGGGTATCCACCTCAAGGCTACCCTACCCCACAGGGGTATATGCCCCAACAGGCTGCTCATATGATGCCAAGACCCGGACAGGTGCCCCCTCCACAAATGCCCCCCACATCACAGCCAGCCCCGCCCACATCTCAGCACTACATGCACCACGCTAATCAGCACATGGCTCCAGGACCCCCGGCTCCACACCTGCTCCCCCAGCAGCAGCACATGGGTCCGCATGTGCCCCCACACGCCCAGATGCCACTTGCCCCAAATGTGCCCCCCACAAGTCAGGCAATGCCCCCCGTCTCTCAGAACTATATGCCCCCAGTGAGCCAACCGCTCCACCCCTCCCTACGCCCACAGCTCCCCCCTCAGCTGCCCCCACAGCTCCCTCCTGTGTCCCAAGCCCACATGGTCCCAGGTCCTCAGGTGCATGTGCCCAGGGGTCCCCCTCCCCACATGCCCCCAGTGCACCAACCCCCACCTGGGCACAGTGGGGTCTATCCTGGGGCACCACCAGTCATGCCCCAGCAACCTTTAGCTCCACAACCAGCCCCTTCACAACAACCGGCTCTCCCAATGGGCCACCCCGCTGCCCCGACCATGTACCCCCCCGGCCCGGGCACCAGTGGACCCTCCCCTGCCCCTCAGCCTGCCCCCTCCTCTGGCCCCGACACACATCCCGCCCGTCCCACACATGATCCAGCCCACACCGGGAGCTCCCCCAGTGCCACCCAATGCCCTGGGCCCGTCTCCTTCCCCATCACCCTCCCCGGCTCCCCCCTCGCCCGCCCCTCTGGCCCTCACCCCCCAGCCCAGACCCCCCAGCACCCCGGGAGCACCCCCTAACCCCACCCTCCCCTCTCCCTCCGCGGTCTCGCCCTCCACTTCGCTCTTTCAGCGGCAGAACTCCAGTACAGATGACCTGCTCTCATCAAGTCCTGAAAGTCAACACGGAGGAACCAAGACTCCCACCAACGTGCTCCAGCCCACCAAAGCCGACCCTCAGGACGGAGAGAGGCGCAAGAAGAACTCCCAGGGGGTCCTCGTCATCCAGGGGGACCCCTACCAGGCTCCAGAGAGAGTGTCCCGCCTTTACAGTGAACTGGAACGCTTCAGGTAATCTCACATCAGACTCACGTTTTTGTCTTTAGTGCACAGAAACAAAGAGACAACATTAACAGTCACGTCCAGTCTCTGTCTCGAGCCTGATTTAGGGAATTTTGTTGAAAGCTGAAAATTGTCCAAAGGAATAAATAGGAATTAATCATTCAAAGGCTCTCTCTTTAGTAGGAGTGAAACGCAGGAGCATACAATCCTTAATTTAAGCAAATAAACTTGAATATCTGTCGCCTTTAACCACTGTGTTCCACATAGAAAGTGAGCATGGACACGCTTCAGGCTCCATTGACTCTGGTTCCAATTGACTTTACATTGATAAAATGTCACTCCTGTCTCTGTGCTGCAGTAGCCTGATCATTTTCTTCTTAAAACATTAACCCGCTTTACATGATCCTGGTGTTTTTATTTAGCTATTTTGTTCGTAATTAAATTTTTTTGTCCACTTCTCTTCACAGACTGATTTTAGCAGTTAAACCTCCTCCTTCTTAAATGTTTTTCTTATTGTGTAAAGCGTTTTGAATGACTTCATGTACAAACTGCTTTATATAAATAAACCTGCCTCTCCCTTCAGGTCCCAGGTGGACTCTCTGGAGTTGCCCTCGGACACTGAGGGGGGCATGTCTGTGCTGGACGCTCGCTGGAAGGAACTCCAGGAGCAGCAGGAGAAGGACGCGCGGCAGCTGTCCATCGCCATCGCCCGCTGCTACACCATGAAGAACCGCCACCAGGACGTCATGCCCTACGACGCCAACAGGGTGTTGCTGCAGTCGGGCAAAGACGACTACATTAACGCCAGCCTGGTGGAGGAGCTGTCCCCCTATTGCCCACGCATCATCGCCACCCAGGCCCCCCTCACGGGCACCGCCGCAGACTTCTGGCTCATGGTGTATGAGCAGAAAGTGTCACTCATAGTGATGCTGGTGTCTGAGCAGGAGCTGGAGAAGGTGAGGGAGCCTGGAGACTTAAGTATCTGTGTGTTTGTTTTTGACTGGGGACTGTAGAATAACTGTGTGTGTTATGTGTAGGGCTGGGAAGCATTAAGAAGCTGCCGATACGATACATATCTCAATACATAGGCCACGATACGATACCTACCTTGATACAGTGCACTTTTGATTTCATACGATACATTTCAAATCGATTCGATACGGTTCACTAAAAAAATAATAACTAAATCATGCCTGTGATGTTAAAAGTTAAAGAAGTTCAACCACTCTTGTGCAAAATTCATATGAAACACAAACATTTTACTCATCAAAACAGTGAAAATGTCAAATGTGTCAAATGAGCAAAACTGTAGCTCTGAAACTAAATAATTTAGCATAATATACGAAAAAATACTATATGATAATCCACGATATCGATACTGTATCATCACATTAAATTATACGATATTTTGATATTTTTGCACACCCCTAGTTCTAGTTATGTGTTATTTTTGTGTTATTCATGAATCATTGTAACATGTTTCATGATTATGCAAATTGACCAAAGGAAATTAACGAACTGATTTGTTCTAATTATACACTGATTTAACAAAGATTACATTCTCAAAAAAATTTGGGAAAATATTTTCCTTGTAAATAAAATTGTTATGTTTGATAAGATATCATTTGCATAAAAGAAAAGGATATACACTGCAGGAGTGGGGCGCACTCTCTGGGCAGAGTTGGATCTTTACATAATAGTTCTGCTTTAAACTAAAGACAGAGGCAAAGTAGTGACTGAATGTAAGTCAATGGGCAAAGTCTTAGACTGGCCACAGCTGAACGGTCGTCCCTCTGTGTGCCTTTGGGGACCTCCAGCAGGAGCTGACCACAGAGCTCTGCTGTGTGTGAAATCAACAGCTCACATAAATATAAATGTGCAAATCCCAGTGGGGGGAGCATGCAACTGTGATGCAACTATGATGCAACTGTGTCTGTGTGTGTCTGGTGTGTGTGTGTGTGTGTGTCTGTGTGTGTGTGTGTCTGTGTGTGTCTGTGTGTGTCTGTGTGTGTGTGTCTGTGTGTGTCTGTGTGTGTGTCTGTGTGAGTTTGTGTGAGTTTGTGTGTTTGTCAGAAGGCAGACCACAGCTTTTTGGACCATCCACTAGGGTTGGGCACTATCCAAATTTTGATACTGTTAAACCTTCTCAGGATTTTACCATGGTATACAGTATTACCAAAATGTTTTAGTATGACTTTGGTAAGCTACGAAGCCGCACCGCTGTACGATCTATGCGTACAACCTGCAGACTTATAATCTTTGAAAAGTTTCACATGAAACATTTCCAACGCGATACACGCACAGAACAGACTCATCGTCAGCTGCACGTCCTCTGTCGCAGAAAGAACACATCTATTCCACTTAGTTGTGTCCTTTAGTTTGACAGAAGCTGAACTGCAACAAAGATTGCTAATAATTTTTGCGAATGAGCCATGTGGTTTTACAACAAGTGTGCGCCTTAAGCTAAAATGCTGCAAATTGCAAAAGTACTAGTATTTTTGGTGCAGACCAACTCACTTGCGGCCGGACTTGCCATCTTGTCTTGGTCTCCCTTATGAGCGTCACGTGATAACGGAATGGAACGGAATCTCCCCCACGCCCTAAGAAACATTATAGACACTATTAGTTTTAAATAGTGATAGCATTAAATTGAAGATACAACCACACATTCATTTGTGCTGAGCAAACTAATTTAGGTATCAATAAATTATAATATTATATTAGGTCCTTATGTGCACCATCCACCCAATCTTATTCCACTGGCAAATGATATTGCTAAAAAAGATTATTAATTCAGCCAGAAAATTACATCCTCACTGGCCAAGGTTCCTTGTTGTGGAGTGTTTTTCTCTATGGAGTCCAGACCAAAATGAAATGTGATTATAGTAAAAATGATTAGTATATGGGACTCTAACCTCCACTTGCTTCTGTCTTCTGTCATCAGGGAAAAGTTCTGCGTTACTTCCCCACAGAGAGGGGGCAGCAGCTGTCCCAGGGCCCCATCACCCTGAGCCTGAGCACGGTGAAGACCACACCCACCCACACCGAGCGAATGATCGGCCTTCAGTACCACGAGCACAGCCTCAAGAGGACGGTGGTGCACCTGCAGTTCACCTCCTGGCCACAACTGTACGCCACACACACACGCGCACTCTTATCTCTGCAGTGTGTGTGTGTTTTAATGATGGGGTCTCTTCTTCTCTTAGGGGTCTTCCTGACAGTAAGAGTAACCTGCTCCGCTTCATCCACGAGGTCCATGGTCACTACCTGCACCAGAGGCCCTTACACAATCCTGTGGTGGTGCACTGCAGGTAAGACATGTCTGAAGGTAGATTTGATTAAGAACCAACAACCAACAAACCCCTTTTTCAAACTTGGGAACAAAAATTGCAGCTTTCTGAGTGAATCATTGAGCTTAGCCACAATCTCTTTATTTTGACACAAATGTACCATGCATTTCCCTGATTGGTTAATCCACCTGTCAATCATGCCCAATAGAACCCAAGGAGACAGGATATTGTTCCAGACAACTTTGTAAAGAGTTGTAAAAGTGTAAAGGTTTTGGACAAGCTGTATGAAATGTTTCTGAGGGCACAATAACATCATGCAGTGATGGCTAGGACTAAACCCCAAATCTTCTGGTAGTAGTTGCATGTGACTTAAAGGAGCTGTTATGTATCTCTTACATCTTAATATTTAAGATTACAATCACAACTGAGCCTTGGTTGCCAATGCCTTAACCTGCAAATGGAAAAAACCTTGTATGCATTCCCATTGTCAGTTTATGGACAGGCCTCATGTGAAAGCTCAGAACCTCCAGAATTCCCTCCCTGAGCTGCAGAGGCTGCATTAGCGCTGATTCATGATGCTGCAGGTGCTGGGGTTTAGGTAGTGACTATTCAGATCAGAGATGGTGCTTTCAGGCTGACAGAGAACCGTGCGGGTACTGGTTCCCGCACCTTATCTCGGTGCCAGGATCATCCGGGTCACGTGGTAAAATAAACAAAGAAAACATGTTTGTGGAATATGAAGGAGAAATCAAGTGACGAGAAGATTGTGCAGTGGTCAGCAGAGGAGACCAAATATTTACTATATACATGTTTGTATGGTAAGGTTAAATCTTTGCATAGCGTCGCTTCCGCCTACTCCACAGCAGATGTTGTAGCAGAGCTTGGTGCACATAAATAATGATTTGTACGAGTACAAATGCTCGCTGTTGTTGATGATGCGATCCATGATTTGATTGTTATTTTCCTCACTGTGACATCCGATTTCGTATGGCCTTGTTTTTATTTGGTGGCAAATGCGCACCCTCTGTCGATGACGCATCATGGGTGCACTTAAATGGTTTGAACGCGGTGAGCACTTTGGTTACTATTTTAAGTGGTGCAGGAACCGGCACAGGCACCATTCTGGCTGGTCTGAAAGATTCATTTTAAGTTTAAACCAGCTGGATTTCTGCATTGAAACAGCAACCCAAATGAGAGACTCATGTGAGGCTCATTCTGCTTTCTGATTGGGTAATCATCTTGAAACAAAACACCAAATTACAACATCAACAACTTATATCATGTCCAATGTTTTTGTCATTAAGAATAAATCAGACTTAAAACTGTTCTTAGTCAAAGTTACATTTGATTTGAACATGTCTGTTTTGTATCTGAGGGCACAGTCAGGTCACGTTTATGAAATATAAAAATTGAAAATATTATATACAGTTCTTTTAACATGTGATAAGTTGTACAGGTTCATTCCTTTTCTAACCTGTGCCCTGTGTGTGTTGTGTGCAGCTCTGGCGTGGGTCGGACCGGCGCCTTCTGTCTCCTGTACGCCGCCGTGCAGGAGCTGGAGGCCGGAAACGGGATCCCAGACCTGCCTCTGCTCGTGAAGAAGATGAGACAACAGAGGAAGAACATGCTGCAGGAGAAGGTCCACACACACACACACACGTACACATAAACACAGCACATATACACACACACACATTTTGCTAAACAGACCTTTCACAATGTTTTCTAGACTCTTCATTTTATTCCTGTCTGTTTGTGTATTTCTCATGTTGAGTCTGAGTACGTTAAGTAACTATAGGACACCTTTCTTTTGGTATTTTGATTTCGATAATACTAGTAAATCAATTTGTACAATGTTTAAGTCTAGAAAACAACCACCACAGCAGAGAACAAAAGGTAGTGTTGTGGTTTTGATGTTTTATATTGTGGTAAGTTTAAAAATATCTTCTGTTTTCCGTCTCATTCCAGTTGCATTTGAAGTTCTGCTACGAAGCGGTTCTGAAACACGCCGAGCAGGTCCTCCAGCGCCACGGCATCACAACCGCCACCTGCAGCAAGACCAACAGCGCTGCAGCCGCCAAGGTGAGTCACACAAGAACAACTGACGCTGCTATTCTGAACGCACCATAGACTGACCTCAGGGAAAGAAGGGGCCTGATTTATCTGTTATTAATGTTCATGTTTTGAGTTACGGACAAATTAGTGAAATAAAACCAGGGTCATGCAGAAAGGGTTAATACAAATATTTTAAGGCTGCCACACACTACAGGAGGATTTGCCCGTTTTAGGCTGCGATTTGTTTCTACCAGAGTTCGAGGAGGCGAGACCTGACTTTTCTTCATGTGTGGTTTTGGAGCTACTGCACTCCTTGTGTGTGTGGTGTCAGGGTGACTCTGAGCTGCTCTGTCAGATCATAACAGTACTGCACCAGCCAATAAACCAGAGCGTCAGACGGAGAGACGGACACAAAGGTGCAACATAAAAACTCAGGAAATAGTGAAAATAGACTTACTAATACTCACTTTTTGTAGAGTTGTGAATTTAAAGTGCAGCATCTCATCCACATTATCCATTAGAATTTGTAAATAATGACACCCAGTCCACAAAACCGTGCTGTTTATCCAGTTGGAATCGTTCTTAAAAGTAAAAAGGTGAGAGTAGTTCCTCGTGTGTGTCTGTTTACATCCACACAGCGCACGGTTCGAGGTGAAGCTGCAGATTAGAGATAGTGACTCTACTTTCTGTGGACTTTATCTCTAATTTTCTGTGCATTAAAATCATGTATCTGAAATATTGCACCACATTTCACAAATAATAATAACACAGTTTTGACTTAGAAACTAGAAACAAACTAAGTGCAGAGCTCTGATCTTTGAACACTTAAACGTCTCAAAGCGATTGGCTTTACTGCAGACTAGAGTGTCCAGATTTTCAAATTCAAAAACTGGGACACCCTCGGTTTGTGGTGGTTGGTAATAATAAAATTGTGAAACAAGTGCGTTATTAAGGAAAATAGTTCTGCACTCGAACCATTCATGACTGTTTTTCTGTATTTTACTTAAACAAGTAACAACATATTCCTCTCTTTACTATTGGCAGGGATAAGATTGGTCCAAAATAGTGACACCTAGGACATTTCTTGTATAAAACTAATCAATTCAAAATAAAAAATCAACTAACTAAATAAATACGAATGTCTGGTCATCCTATTCTAGACAGGAAACAGCTGACGAGAGGTGCGCTTAAACTTTGCAGCCTGTGTTCCACAGCCACGATTGGAGATTTAAAATCTCATCAGATTCTCCTTGTGTCTGGTGTTGCTCTTTTTGTTGCATGTTTAAAAATCATTTAAGATCCAAAAAATCCTGTAGTGTGTGAAGTTCTTTAAACCAAACTGATGAGCCTGACAGCAGCAGTTACATAGAGAGGGGTGATGTTTTTTCATTAGAAAGTGAATTGGAGCCAGAGTCAGTTCCTATTTGGAACGCGGTGGCTAGCGGGTCAGCATTGTCCATTTCTGTATACAGTCTGTGATGCAGACTGCAGATATTTACATGTACTGATGATTTTTGGTAGGAGTAGAGCTAGGGAATAAGAAAACTTAAAAAAATATTTGTGAGCATAGAATAGAAATCTGTGCGTATTTGGGAAATCCGTGCATATTTGGCTGTAGTTGAGCATAAAATAAGTATTTGTAAACTCTCAAATGAGTCCAGTCGTACATAAAATATATTGTGTGTATTTTATCCATCAGAACACGAACTAAAAGTTACGACATCAAGAATTACAATCACGAAATGAAAATTTACGATTACGCTTTCATCAGTACGATTACGAATTCACAGACGGGATTTTTCAATATATTTTATGTACGACTGGACTCATTTGAGAGTTTACATATATATATTTTATGCTCAACTACAGCCAAATATGCACAGATTTCCCAAATACGCACAGATTTCTATTCTATGCACACAAATACTATGGAATAAGAAAGCTTATATAGAGCAGTGCTCATAGGCTGTGTTCAAACTTGTCATGTTGTGTTTCAAAGACGTACATGGAGCTGTGGACAAAGCAGGTACTTTTATATGTGGTGGAGTAGAGACGTGCAGCGATGTACTCTTATCACTCTTAGAACAAGTTACAAGTTGATTGTCCAGTTTAGATTTATGAGATATTTTCAATAATTGACACTTTGCAGCTGATGTTAAAATTCCCTGGGTGTGAAGCTAACTGTAGGCTCTGCTCTGTCTGAGGCTTTGTTCAACTTTAATCTCTTCTTTATTTTAACACAATCTGACCAGAAAGAACTGATTTAACTGGAACTACAACAGGTGAGATGATTTGTGCTGTTATAGAAGTTTCTTTTTCAGTTAGTCACTCTCACCTTTATGTTGAAAATCAAACTCCTGAACAGACCCATGAACACTCACACTGATCACAGGCTCCTGAAAATGACCTCTTTTCTTCAAACTTTTTTGGACAGTGTTTGTTAATGTATGCATTGTGTCACCATGGTAACTCCTAAACATTCCACCATTAGAGATACATGTAGAACACCCCCAGCATGACATCACTGCAAAGTACCAACAGATAAATGTTAGACTGGTTTGGTCCCTTTCTGATCCCTTTTGTTTTAGTCCCATTAGTAACAGTCCTAATATACTACCAGAAAAGTTACAGAGGGCGTCTTTAAAGGAACTGTATGTAAATAAGTCAAGTTTACAATTTTTACATTTGACTCGAATCCGTGTTTCATTCATTCATTCGTTTTTCAATATAAAACCAACTGCATACGGACTGAACCAGGACTGATCCAGGTCCGAGACCACACCAGGGACCAGAGCGGGACTGAGACCGGGACAGACAGGGACCAGCGCAGGACTGAAACAGGGACCAGACCGGGACCAGACCCTGGTCCTGCTCTGGTCCCGCTCTGGATCAGTCCTGGTTCAGTCCGTATGCAGTGTAAAAGTCCGGCATCGCAGTCACGGGAGTCACGTAAACAGAAAACGGTCATTATCCGTTTTTTCCATTCTTCATTTAAACACAAAATCGAAAACTGAAAAAACAAATCGTTATCCGTTTTTTCATGTTGGTTTTAGAGACAAATAATGAAGAAAACTGTTGTTTTTTCGTTTTCTTATTTTTGGTTTTATATTGAAAAACGAATGAACAAATGATACACGGATTGACTCACAGAAGACATCAAATATATGAAGCAAGATGTATGTAATTATGTAGCAAAGAAAACAAATTAAAATAACAAATAAAATAAAACATTTATATATTTTTTAAACTTTCAATTTGGAGTGTTTAGAATAAAGAGAACCTGATGGCTGATATTGATCATTTTGTCTGGTTTAGTCCTGGTTATGTTTTAGTTTAGTCCTTCTTACCCATGATTGTATCTTGAACTAGACCTCGTATAGTGTCATGTAGCTCTGTAATCTTGGTTCACTCCCAACATTCAAATCCAGACTCAAAACCTATTTATTTAAATTAACCCACCCCCATTAATGTCCTGATGTTTTAGAACCCGTCCTGTACTGTTTGTTTTTAATTACCGTATTTTCCGGGCTATTAGACGCGCTCTTAAGCCTCCTAACCCCATCAATCCAGAGCGCCCTGTACACAAATCCACTCAGGTGTCCCAGCGCGACTTCAGTAAACTACAAAGCCGCACCACCCACAGAACACACAAACACACACAGAGCAGACAGCGACCGCACAGCCAAAAACACCCACAGACACACTCATCACTCCACGCCGATGAAGAACGGAACAGAGAAACGAATTGAAAAAGCGAGTGCAATGTGCCACTTCTAGACACAACTGAACAACTGAGTCACTGCGAACACGCCAACAATCCGTTGGTCCCAGACACACCCTCCCTACACGCCACAACTGAACAAAGCCCAGAGTCACCGTGAACACCACAAACAAACAAAACCACTCACCCATCACACTGTTGTGTTTCCTTTAAAGTCCAGTGCGGTTTATTTTTAAAAAAAAGTTCAAAAATAGACCATTTAATGACAGTGGGTCTTATAATCCAGAGCACCTAATAGCCCAGAAAATACGGTATGTGTCGTAATTGCTGTTTTCTTTACTAATTACTGTGTCCTTGAGTGCTCTCAAAGGCGCCTTTAAATAAAATGCATTATCAGTTTTAGTATTAGGGTCCGGTCAAGTGGTAACGGAGGGAAACGGGCAGATTTTTAACATTCAAATGTCTTATTCAGAAACTAGAGGGACTATTGAAATAAGTAAAGTATCAGAATGTAGGAAAGAGTTACACTCCAACAGGGTCAAGTTAAACCTGTGATATTCTTTCAAGTTGTTGACAAAAATTAAAAAACTCATGTCGGTAACAGAGGGAATGAAATATGCAGCACTTTTTGGGCAATAAATCCAAACAGTGATAACTCTTGGTTCTCACTTCCATATCCTTAACAAACTGGTTTGAATATTTGCTTCATATAGTTTTCTACCATATGGTACAAGATTAGGCTGAAAAACCTCTTACTTTTTGACTCATGAGATTTTTTATTAAGAAAGGTCATGGTAACGGAGGGAAAAGTAACGGAGGGAAAATTGTACAAACAAGTAGAAGGTGAATTTTTTTTGCATAATTTGTCAGTTTTTTTCTTCCAAATACTTTATAACTTCAAAATGAAAGGAAAGTCTTTCTATAAAATATGTTAGTCCTTCCAAGCTAATTTTTATCATTTTAAATAATTTTTTTTTTTTTTAAAATCCTGTACCTTCATCAACAGTTCAAAGATGGAATAACACAAGATATGATGAAATACATCCATTTATTGACATGATTTGCAGGTCTTTGAAATTTGGGAAATAATTTTTGTTCCATGTTTCATACATGGTCTGTTTAAAACATATGGAATTTTAGAACCAAAAATGGTACAGAAAAAAGGTCAACAGTTTCATAAACTAGAGTACATATGTATCTGTTCAATACATTTTTATATCAGATGAATTTTTGGCCTTGCTGTTTACTTCTGCTTGACCGGGCCCATTAGGAATGGAACGATATCCAAATCTCTCTGTACAATATTTTCAGGATATACATCTCACGGTACAATATTTATTGTGATATTTTGTTTCACAAACAAAATTGTGAATATGTTACTTTTTCCTCTTTAAAATGCTTTGACAAGACTTAATCCAAAGAACTAAGATTTAGAAGAACTTAGAACTGTTATTTCTTCATGTAGTTTATATCAAAACGGAGCAAAGGATCATGGTCAATGTAGTTCCCTCTGTTTTTTTTGAGCTATTGCGGCACTATAACAATGAATTTAAACAAAGGAACTTATGATTCAATATACTGTGATGGCCCATGATATTATTGAGAGACTTTTGATGATACGATCTCACGATATTTTGGTTATTGTTACACCCCTGGTTTTTTAGAAGCCCAGTTTTTTGAGGTGGTCCTTGGTGTTATATTCTAAATAAATGAGATGGATACTTTATTATTTTACTTAGGGGTGTCACATGATCTCGTTAATTGCAATTAATTAATTAGTCATATTTAGCGCATTGTTTTTTTAATCGCGTTAATCTTATTTTTAATCTCTAACTTTACTGTTTCTGTATGTGAGTTGCCTTATTATAAAATCTGTTTTTATGTGTTGTTAGGACACAGTCGCACTGTACAGTCCTGCTCCGCTCGCTCCTGCAAGGAATAGTAATTTTCATTCAAGTTCTCGCCGCATCTGCGATAAACCTGCACACGTCTGATCTCTGAAAACATCACGACACAGACACAGAACAGACTCACCTTCACCATCAACATCCTCTGTCACAGACAGAACATCTATATTCCACTGAGTCGTGTCCTTTAGTCTGACAGAAGCTGAACCACATCAGCACAAGAGTGTTGTTTTTTTTTTTTTTTCTCCGCTTAGTTTATGCAAATGAGCCATGCAGTTTTAAGTTTAGTTTCTGTGAGACTTGCACAGATCTGCATTAAACACATGATAATGTCAAACGGGCTGATGTGTCTCTAGAGTGGTGATGTTTATATGTTGTAAAGTTGAGTTTATTTATGCAGATTAGTAATAGTAATATTAATGATGATACTTAAATAAAAACGTTAATGATAGTATGAAAATAATGTAATAATGAATTTAAATGAAAATACCTCAAGTTGAAGCTTTTCTCTGCAATTTTTAGGTGAGATTAAAAGAGATTAATTACAGATCGTAATTAATTAATCTCTCAATTGTTTTAATCTCTTGACAGCACTAGTTTTATTTTATGGTTAGTTATTAAATCTGTATTATTTGATCTAATTTTTCCCCTCTCCATTCTGCAGCCGTACTCCAGACAGGAGTCGCAGCAGGACATCGTGATGGGCGGAGACTTGCCCATCAGCTCCATCCAGGCCACCATCGCCAAACTGAGCGTCCGTCCCCCGAGCGCCACAGACTCCTCCATGGACCCGGACGAGCACCCCCCGTCCCCCAACCCGAACTGCACGCCCCCCGACCTCACCCCTCCCCTGTCCACACCCTCCACCTCCCCGTCAAAGCCCCCTCTTCGCCCTCACCTCCCGAGAACAACAACAACGGCGGCGGCAACGACAACAACAACGGGCTGGAGTCGCCGCAGCCGGAGCCGGAGCACGGCGGCAGCCCCACACGCCACGAAGACGTCCCCGCGCCGGCCCCGTCCTCCCTGGAGCTCCTGGCGTCGCTGGCTCCGGAGGCGTTCTCGATGGAGGGAGGGGGGAAGGGGAAGCAGAGGGTCACCAAACAGAGCTTCCTGCAGCCGGCCGAGGGGCAGGGGCTGCACGGGACCAGGGCGAAAGAGGAAGGAGACCCACTGAGCAGCCTGGACCCCCTCTGGAGTCTGAACAAGCACTAAAGCAGAGGAGGAGGGAGGGGTGGGCCAACGACGCATACACACGCAGTAAAACACTACACACACGGATATCAACATGAGGAACAAACGTACTTACACTCGGAATCAAAATATTCATCTTGATTTAAAGTTTTCAGAACTTTCAGGTTTTTATTTTAGACCAATGGAAGATTGGCGTATTATGCGACTTTCGACCAAGTTGTAACATATAAAGCGGTTTTGGAGGTAATTCACACATGTTTGATTCATTTAGCGATCTCCCTCAGGCTCTATTTGAACTGTCTTTATTTTTAGCTGTGAGAGTCAGTACAAGGCTCCACCCACAAGCCTACGGGACGCATGCTCCTTTCTTTCTTCTTTATAAATGCACCAAAACACGATACAAAACTTGACTAAAATGATGCAGTAGTTTCATTAGCGCTCTGAAGGGGGTGTGACTTAGCATAGAGAGCAAAGGGAGCAGAGATTCAGAACATCAAAAACTAAACTAAATTTTAAAAATTCATGTTTTGTTTGGTGAAAATAGCATTTTCAAGAAGATAAAAGGTAACGTGGTGATCTAAAAATGTATTCACAGACATATAATTCTCCCTCTTAAAATTTTCCCTGTATATCTGATTTTGAATTTTTCCTGACCAATACGAATTGCGAACGGATTTCCAATTAATTTATTTATTAAAATCAAGATTCCAGCCACGGATCGCTCGTATTTCAGAACGCGCCAATCCGCTGAACCGAAATATGAAACCTTTCCAAATCAAGATAAATATTCTGAAGTTTAATCTGAATTCTAGTTCTTTTAGCACATTTTGCTTTGCCAAGACAGCTCTTTAATCCGTTACGAATAAGAATTGCGGGTATCTATCAGCCACTTTCATTGAACGGTCACTTAAAAAAAAAGAAGTGGCCGGAATGGTTACACGCTGTTGTAGATGGATGCAGTTTGGGTGCCTTATGTTTTATCCAAATATCCAAATTTGAGCACATACTTCACTCCTTTCCATAACCGGTTTCTGTCACTTTGCGAATTATTTCAGAGTCGTGCGATTATTCTTATTAGAAAGACATGGATTGTACAAATAAAAGCAAGAGAGCGGGGATTTTCTTTCACTTTAGTTCAACTTTTAAATTATACTTTAGTTCTTTTTTTACGCGCTTAATCAAACTGTCATGTTAATATTGAGTCCTTTTTACTTAACGTTAACATTCTGGCTTTAAACCGTGCTTTTTTAAACGCTGGTGGTCTGTGTACGTCTCCTAACTGTTAGCCTTGTGATTAACTGATAAATAAATAATATTTTGATATAAACTTTTGAATTGTTCTTTGTTTCATGGTTTAAGTTTTTAGTTTGTGGAATACCTGTTGTAAATATATTGCAAATTGTGAAGAAAAGTTGAAAAATATGTTGAAAATGACAAGAAGTAAAGAGTTCCATACTGATGACATCACACTGGGTGAATTCTGTTCAAAATATACTCAAGAAACATGTTTTTTCTGATACTTTAAACATTATTTCAACAAAAGCAATCAGTTTTCTCGTATTTGTTGAATATTAATTTCTGTGTACAATAGTTTTGGCCCAGTGTATTACATGGTTGCTAGGTAACGTAATGTAATTTCCAACCATGAAGTAAAATGTTTAACCTAAAAAAATGGCAAAACCTAGGGTGAGCAGACGTCCCTGTTTACCCAGGACTGTCCCAGTTTTGAGCCTGTGTCCCCTGTCCCAGCAGATTTATTCAAAACCATTAAATTGTCTCAGTTTTATACAAGAAATGTCCAAAGTGTCCCTATTTTTGACCAATTTGATCCCTGCCAACAGTAAAGAGAGACATAAATTGTCACTTGTTTTGGTAAAATACTGAAAAGCTGCTTAAAAATGACCAAAACACAAAGAAAATGTGACTACACTGACTCACATGATATTCGTGAAGTGTAGAACAATTTTCTTAAGTATGCTTTAGTTTCACAATTTTACAACCACCCCAAACCAGAGATGTCCCAATTTTTGATTTTAATATTCTGGTCACACTGGGGCAAACCCTTTGTTTATCTAATTCTTCAATACAATATAACTGTGTTTTAGTAAAATGAGAAGTCTAACCTGTCAGCGACACTTTAAATATAACCATCATTTGATTAGATCCTAATCCAAACATTTCAAAAATATGAAATGATAAAGCAGAATATGTCCAGAAAAAACCTGAATAGGCCCACATCATCTTGGTCCACTCCTGTTCTGTCAGATTTAGCTTTTTATGGTTTCTAACTCGCCAATATGAGCCTGCTGATCGAACACAAGCTATGACCATCAGCTCATTCTTTCTTTTACGGCGTCTGGGTTCATTTCACGGCATGTATGTTTTTCTCATCACAAACAGACCTGGAGTTGTGTTTTGTTTCATTCACACATGTTGAACCCTGCATATTTAGGCAGAGTTCTTCTCTCAAAAGGAAACACTGTTCAGTGGTGTGATGTCATGTAGTAGGAAGTCTAACAGTGAAAAAATACATGGCACACTCACATGGCCGATGTCCTAAAGCTTTTGTTATTTTGAAATTACATTTTGGCAAAAAGCCTTCGTCAGATCATTTTTCTTGCTTTGGACAACAGTATATGTGGTAGGGAGTCTGCCACAAAATTATTTCCGTGGAGATATTATTGCTTTGCCTGAAAACTTTGCATTAAACTAATCCATGTTGCGTTCATTCAATTACAGCTGTTGAACTGTTTAAAAATATTGTGACAAACATCCATTCCTACAGTGAATGAGCTCACCTCTTCACAGATCAGTGGCTAGCACTCATACCTCACAGCAAGAAGGTTACGGGTTCGATCCCCGGGTCGCCTGGGCCTTTCTGTGTGGAGTTTGCATGTTTCTCTCCGTGTCTGGATGGTTTCCTCCATCAACCCAAAACATGTTACAGGTCTCCAGGAAGAAGAGTTGATAGTCAAGGTCAGTTAAATACAATCAATCAATGAACCTGCCCAGGGACGACAGGTGGAAATGAACACTGATGTACAAACATCTCTCCTGTTGAAGTTAATGGAAACATCGTGTGCTGTCCGTGTCTCAGATAAATACGTTTAATACATCTTTTATTTACTTATATTTAAGTGGAACAGAGCATAAGGATTAAAGATAAAGGATATACTCAAATATTTAATTAATCCTTTAATAAAACAACTCCAGGTCAGTTTTTGAGGAGGTAAAAACAACATGACTGGAAGCCAGAGGTGGGGACTTGCAAGTCGTGACTTGAACTCAAGTCACGACTTGAGTCACTATTTTTAGGACTTGAGACTTAACTGATAAAACAGACAAAGACTTGGGACTTGACTTGGACTTGAAGCTCAATGACTTGGGACTTGACTTGACTTGAGAAGACTTGATGCTTCTCCTAAAAATATATATGTTTTTAGAAAATACTTTCCTCTTTTCAGTTGATAAATGTAGAGCTGAATTTTACAGGAACAAACTGACACATGTCGCTCCCACTTCTGTTTGTTACTTTGGATGGAACTGTGTTGTACTGTGAATGTACTGTGATGTGGTATCCTCAAATGTACTACAGTAATATTCAGAATACAGTAATATACAGTACAGTGCAGACGACTTGACAAAATAACTGTTGTTAAGCACTTTTAAAATCTAAATTCTTTCTATTCTGACTGTAATGATTTGCACTTTTGTCAAGACATTTAATAAAGAAAAAATTGCATTTCTACAACTCTTAATAATAATAATAATAATAAATAATAATAATCATAATAATAATAATGCATCAGTTTTATCTAGGGCTTATTTGGACATTCAAAGACGCTTTACAGAGCATTATTCATTCACTCCAGACCCGGTGGTGGAAACTACTATTGTAGCCACAGCTGCCCTGGGGCAGACTGACGGAAGCAAGGCTGCCAATCTGCACCATCTTATATAAATACTCATATACCATGACTATTTACACTTTACAGTACATTACAATTTAGTTTAAGTCATACATTGCAAACACCTAAACTATACTTGGTACATTTTTGGTTTAAAGACTTGAAATGACTTGAAGCTCAAAGCAGAAGACTTGGACTTGACTTGGACTTATGGGCCAGTGACTCGAGAGTCGACTTGGACTTGCCTGTATTTGACTTGGGACTTGACTCGGACTTGAGGTCAAAGGCTTGAGACTTGCAAAACAATGACTTGATCCCACCTCTGCTGGAATCTCACAAAAATCCATTTTGTTTTATGTTTAGTGAAATTTCCTAACACATTTCAGAATTGTCCAAATTCAAAGCCACGACGCTCATCTTACTTTTCTATAATTCTGATGCCAACATGAAAATTTGACTTAACTAGTTGTTTATTTTGTCTTTTTATAACCCTGTAAACACTAGACAATTCCAAATGATTGTGATAATTCAAATCCCTACAGCAAATACAGTCAAAAGTAAAATCAACAGACATAGTACAGTCGTATCAAAGCCTCTTTATTTGAAAATTAGTACAAATCTTTTCGTGTTACAAAAGATGTCTCCGCCGCTACTGCCCGCGTAGGTTAAGGGGAACCTGCCATTTGAAATCATCAAGTTGTGTAGACTTTTTACACTGATAACGAACATTGGTCACTCACTGCATAGGCACCAGGCTAAAACAACGGTTTACGCGGTGTACAGTGATATTAAATAAGACAAGGCTGTAGCTCAAACATTCAATAAGAGACCAAAATTAGATTCCCACACCACTCCCATAGAAAATATACTTCCATTAGCTAAAAAAAAAAAAAAAAAAAAGACATAACAAATCTAAAGCTTTTTCACTTTGTACAGAAGATACAAAAGTTAATAAATTAAAATGGCTGCCAGGTCAAAGATGGCGCAAGGTTTAACCGAGATAACGTTTTTATTTACGATTCAGTAGTTAGAAGGGATGGGACGAGATTTTGAGTCACAAAATTGCCACGAGATTGAATTTACCTTTACCTTAAGAGCTGGTGAGTTATATAGTTTGAGACGCTGTAGTTCCAAAAAGCAGTACTAAGACCGCTACAGTATTACATAAAATAAATACAAAATAGTGAATCCAAAATTGTGAATTGGATGGCAGTACTTATTTAAAATCTCGTCTTGTCTCGCTCTCGTGGGCTTGATCTCGCGATGTCTCGTCCCAACCCTAGAAGATATTTAACTTTTACTGCCCATAACTGCACATAGGCTCAGAAATAACCGTTGATTATTTGGGTCACTGGGTTAAAAAATGTAAAAAAAAAAATTAGGACCGTTACCATAGCGATTCAAAATACAGAACAAAATATGATGTTTTTGGAATTGGAAAAGTCCTACTCTTGAAACTAGGGATGCACAGACACATTTTCAGTTCTGATTCTCTCAAAACATCGTTAAATGTGGATTGTGTATCTTTTTTTCTCCATGGAGACGTTTTGTTGCTTTGTCTGGAATGTTTCACAGTGTGGCATTAAACCTTTTTATCTTTATGGAGACCAAACTGTGCCAAGTTACAGGTCAGATCTGTGGAGAGGCGACATCGCTCACAGTCAGAATATCGTTTTTTCTAGGTATTTTTGAGCTATAAATCCACTTGTAACTGGATAAATGTAAATAAGAGCAGTTTAAAGTCACACTGTGGAACATTCCAGGCAGAGCAATGACGTAACCATAGAAACAAGCAGGTGACGGACCCCAAAACCAAAAAGATACAGAGAGTCCAACCAGGATATCGTCTGAACCGATATCCAGGAAGCGATACCTGATCCAGAAAATTTTCCTGGATAGACGACGATATTTGAATCCAATATCGGTATCGGTGCATCCCTAGTTGAAACCGATGAACTGTACCAAACTGTTTTACATAATCTTCACAATTAACAACAGAAATTTTATATTTGTTAAACATTTTTGACTAATTTACATTTTAGGTAAAAAAAAAAAGTCTGAAAAAAGTTTAAAAAGTTAATATGCGTAAAGCACATTTTTTGTTCTATCCAGTCACGTTTGAAAAGTGCACTATGTAACTTTTTTGGTGGAGGGTTCGCGACCTGATTGTCCCTATGGAGAGTTTATTCTTTTGCTTTGAAAGTTCCACAGTATGGCATTAAATGGAAACAAGCAGATGACACTACCAGGCAAAGTTACGGGTTAGATCTGTGGAGAGGCATCCCCGCTCGCAGAAAGAGTACATGTTTTTCAACGTTTTTTTTTTTTTTTACATAAAGAACAAAGACTTGCAATTGTATAAATGCAACATACACAAGTCTAATGCCATACTGTGGGACATTCAAGACAATAACATCAGCATAGAAACAAGCAGACCCTCTATGAGAAAAGTTACACCTTTAAACAATGAAACATTTATTATATATAGATGTAATTAATGACATCAGTTTTATTTTATCTGGGCCAGACCGTGGGCGTGTCTGTGCATTAGCAGTGTGCGTTTTCTAGCGCAGTTCTAAAAACTCACATTTCCTCTGTTCAAGCCATTGATTTGTGCCTGTGTAAGCGTTAGCATCAGTGTTAGCCGTGCAGAAAACGGTTCTACACAGGGAGCACAGCTGAAGTACATTCTGTTGTTTTACGGTGACCAAACGTCCATTTTTCCCCAGACATATTTTGCGTCTTGTCCTGAGCGTCTGGGTGATGCAAATGTCTAAGTTTTCATTACTTTTCATTGGGGCATTAAACTGAGCGTCTCTCGTAGCGTCTGTGACTCAGAAGGAGCGAGACACCAACAGTCGGTCAGTCTGCAACATACTGAAGTGTAAATGCACATTTAACAATGACTTGTACAAGAAATTCTCTGTTTTCCATCCCGGTCGGGACAAGTGAGTCCATGTGCACAGGTTGCGAGGTGAGAGTACAGTGTCCCTCGTTTATCGTGGGGGTTACGTTCTAAAATAACCTGCGATAGATGAAATCCACAAAGTATCAACTTTATATTTTACAATTATTCTATCTGTTTTAAAGCTGTAAAACCCCTCACCACAAACTTTATACACTTTTCTCAGACAGGACAGGTGTAACCCTTTTTACATCCTTCTTAAAACTTATTGCTGCTGTCGTCCTTTTGTTATTTTCCTTCTTCTTTATGTAACGAACCCAAAATTAATTTATTCCGTAATAGAGCCCAACAGCACAGAGAACTGCACGAGGCCAGTTTTGGAGACCTGCAGTACAACACCGCACCTGCCAGTACAGGACCGCACCCGCCCGTTCACCCGTGATTATATCAAGCTTTTGCCTTTCAGACGCCATGGACTGAACCAGGACTGAACCAGGACTGAACCAGGACTGAACCAGGACTGAACCAGGACTGAACCAGGACTGAACCAGGACTGGAGGTGACCGCAGGAGAAGGGACAGATGGACAAGCAGACAAACTGCTCGGTGTTCTCTCTCTTAAGTCCAAGATTAGACCTGGTTTAGTCCTGACCCACCCATGTGTTAAAAAAATAAAAATAAAAATCAGCGAGACCGCGAAAGGTGAAGTGTGATATATGGAGGGACGACTGCAGCTGGACGTGGAGGTCCCCACCTCTCACCTCTCACCTCTCACCTCTCACCCTCGGGAAGGTGTCCGGGTTTTCACAAATGGAAATCTGGTCACCCTAGGTTGTTTATGTCTAAAATAAGCTTTAACAGAAACCACAATTCTGAATGACAAATTTACAGCAGTTTTGGAGCTTATGATTAGTAAAATGTTTGAATAATATTTAACAGCTTAGTTTGTTTTAGGAGCTAGCACTTGCAAGCTAATGATGCTACACATCTCTGTCGAAAAACTCTGACTTTTTTCATATCATATATATATATATATATTTTTTTTTTTACTGATATGTAAACAGAACTAAAAAGCTTACCACAATGCAATTATTATGGCTATTAAACAAGTTGTAAACTGTAGGTCTACGCTGTTATCAAAGTACAAGATACTTTTGGTAATTTAACGCAATAAATCTCAAGCTATGGTTTTAGAAGAGGAGTAAGAATTTGCATAGCCTACTTTTTTACTTTCTTGATATTATTTTAGTAAGTTTGATTTGACTTGGCTAGTCTTTTACTCCAGACACGAGTAGTGCATCCAGATATTTGTGTGAGACGCTCTAAAAGCTCGGCATTTCATCCGGGGCAGGACTTAATGTTCGATTGCAACCATGGTAACCAGCTTTTTACACAGTGTTTTTTTTGTTTTTTTTAGACTTGGTTAAGATGACCAGACGTCCCTATTTACCCAGGACAGTCCCAGTTTTGAGCCCTGTGTCCCTGTCTGAGCAGATTTATACAAAACCTTGGATTTGTCCCAGTTTTATACAAGAAATGTCCCAGGTGTCCCTATTTTTAACCAGTTTGAGGCATAAATTGTAATGTGTTTAGGTAAAACACAAAAAATCTGATTAAAAATGACCAAAAGACAAAGAAAATGTGACTATACTGGCTCACATGTTAGTCATGAACAATTTTCCTTAATTACGCACTTGTTTCACAATTTTATTATTTCCAACCACCAAAAAACCGGGGATGTCCCAGTTTTTTATTTTAAATACTGGTCACCCGAGACTTGGCAGCTCAGGTAAATAGGAAAACAGACTTATTTGACAAGACAAAATCTTAAAATAAGACTTAAAATTAACAACAAACTCATCCAGTTTTTCTTTTACTTTCTGTCGTTGTATCAGGACGGCACTTTTCTTCCCCCAAACACAGTCGCTCTGTATTTGTGGTTGGGCCAGCAAATATTGATTTTTGTCAGTATATTTATTCACGATCAGGTTAAGGTGACGGTTAGGTTTAGGCAGGTCAGTTGACAGAAATTTGGGGGCCCGGGTAGGGTGACCAGATTTTCAAAATTAAAACCTGGGACACCCCTGGTTTGTGGTAGTTGGTAATAATAAAATTATGAAATGGGTGTGTAATGATAAACGGTTCTACACTTGGTCAGTATAGTCACATTTTCTTTGTGTTTTGGTCATGTTTAAGCATCTCTGTATTTTACCCAAATAAATGACAATGTATATCTCTCTTTACTGTTGGCAGGGTCATTTCTTGTATAAAACTGGGACAAATCAATAGTTTTGGATAAATCTGCTGGGACAGGGGACACAGGGCTCAAAACTGGGACTGCTCCGGATAAATAGGGACATCTGGTCAGCCTAGGTCCGGGCAAAAAGTCTGACTTGAGCAACCCTCTAATATAATGTAGTCGAATGAGGGTTCAATTCTGGGCCCCTAAGATCTCTTTGTCCTCCCCTGGGTTTAGGAATGTCTCTGAACCTTAATATTTGCAGTAATTAAATCTGTTCTGGTGTTTTCCATCCTTGGGAAATACAGCAGCTTCGATTGACATGGAACGCTAAGCCCCGCCCCCGAACAAAATGCAGCGTTTTTAGTGAATCCCACATTTGTACAGTAAAATTTGGTTATTCCACGTACAGTATTATTAGTTGCATATGTGTACATCTAACAAAGTAAAGTTCTAGACTTGTGGTTCAGCTCTGTCTATTCTAACTATTTCCTCATTCATATTTTACTCTGAACCAGGCAGCAGGTTGTAGGACGAACTGGTTGAAAAATAGCTGAAAATGAAACCAAAAGGAATGAAAAGTCCAACACTAAATCTGTACAATAATATGCTGTGGAAGAAATCTCTAAAGGGCACAGTTTAGCATAAAAAATACAGTAGCCAATGTAAACACAATGTCAGTATGCTCAAATACAAGCAGTTTGGAAAAAGGAGGTAGCCACACGGAGCTGGAGGGCTAAAGCTCCCTCTGCTGGATGGATACAGAACAGTAGATCAGAAATGAACATTTTTAAGCTACCTTGTTCAATTTTAAAGGGTTTTACAATAAAAAATACAAGAATTCAAAGTCTAAACCCTTAAATGGAAATGTGCAGGTGTTCCACAGGGGACGGCTCTGGCTCCTTTACTTTTTATGCTTTTTAAACTTTTACTAGTGATATTGTGTGTTAATGTCTGTTACGATTTTGCTATAGCGACACAAAATGAAGCATCTACTGTTCCATATGCAGCCGTTGTCCCCTTCACGTCTTCTGAACACCCCAAACCCAAGTGATCAGTCTAAGCCAAGAGTTCATTTGAAAACTAAAACTGTAAAACAAGTACATAGCCCCCCTTTCTTTGAAGAATGGCAGGTAGAAAAATAAATAAATGAGAGGGAATTAAACGTGCATTGTGTAACTTTTCTGTTGGACGGCGCGTGCTTTGCCTGAAATGTTTCACATTTTGGCATTAAATCTTTCTATCTTCACGGAGACCAAACCGAACCAAGTTACAGGTCAGATCTGTGGACAGGCAACCCCTCTTACAGTCAGAATCCCCGTTTTTTTATTCACTTTTGAACTATAAAAACACCTGTAACTGAATAAATGTAAAGTAGAGCTGTTTAAAGTCATACTGTGGAACATTCCAGCCAAAGCAATGACATAGAAAACAATAGGAACAAGCAGGTGACAGATCTCCAACCAGAAAAGTTACACCATGCACCTTTAAAGTGCCATTTACAGCAGTACTGGAAAAGTTCATTAATATGTATGTACTATTGTGAAAATCACTCTGTCCCTTCAAGGCTGCTGTAGTTGGTCACGTGGTTTTAAAAGTATGTGTTGCAGGCAGGTTGTACTTTAATACTTTGAGTAAGATGCATATTTAACCATTTATGTTCTCCATCTACGACAACACACATTGTGCCGCTTTAAAACTACACGGTAAACTACAACATTACAAAGCCCGCACCATAGACTGTGTAAAGAATTGGACATAGCGTTTGGCTCCAGTCAAACGAAGCTCACCGAGGCCTGTATTTCAATGTTAAGTGAAGTGGAGCCAGCGTCAATGGAGCCAAAAGTGCGCCCATGCTCAGTTGCTGTTTAGAACATTTATATAGAGTCTATGGTGGAACCGGATTTTATTTTCCTGGTGTTTGTGCGAACTGCATCTTTCCTCAGTACATTTATATTCTATACACTGCAAAAAAGCTTGGCCAAAATTTAAGATAGAAACTCTTAAATCTATCAGAAAATGACTTAAAAGTACTGAAATTATCTGTCCGTTCAGCAAGATAACATTACCGTATTTTCCAGGCTATTAGACGCGCTCTTAAGCCTCCAACCGCATCAAAAAACGACTGCGTGCCCCACAATCCTATACACGAATCCACTCGGGTGTCCCAGCACGCAAACACGCAAACACACACGGAGCAGACAGCGACGCACAGAGAAAAACACCCACAGACACACTCATCACTCCACGCCGGCGAGGAACGGAACGGAGGAACAAACCGAAAAAGTGAGGGCAATGTGCCACTTCTAGACACAACTGAACAACTGAGTCACTGCGAACACGCGAGTCACCCTGAACGCACCAAACAAACAAAACCACTCACCCATCCAACTGTTGTGTTTCATTTAAAGTCCAGTGCGGTTTATTTATGAAAAAAGTTCGAAAATAGACCATTTAATAATTTAATTAATGCGTCTTATAATCCAGAGCGACTAATAGCCCGGAAAATACGGTACTTGACAAGTTATCTTAAAATAAACTAACTCTAGACTAGAATGAAGCATCTCAGAACTAGTAAGTAGACAATAAATTTGAAAACAAAATGACTAACAGGATATAAAAACAATTAAAAGATAAATTTGCAGTGATGGAAGAAGCTCTTGAGATGAAGATATGTCCGCTGTGTACTGTCCACATCTTATTATCAGTGTTTATTGTCTGATTATCAGGAAATGCAGTCACGGTAAACTCTGAGCATCCTAATGATTGTCCCTGATATGGCAAGTTCTGTTTTTCATGTTTTTTAAGACAGCAAAACTCAGGTATAAAGCCCTTTAGTACTAAAACAGTAAAAAATGTGGTAATTACACTTTAATGTGACGCCTACTTCGGAATTTACTTACTGCTGAAATGACATCTTGTTTTTTTAGTTTTCAAATGAGCTCCTTGGCCAGACTCTTGGAAAAAAAAAAAAAACATTTCTTTAAAAAACACCTTTCAAATAAATAACCGTCCACACCCCCACGCACCCACACCCCCACACACCAACACGTGGATGTCTCATTGTACGTTTGTTCCAGTCGACTCGCCGCCGTCGCCGCCGCCTCACCTCTGTGTGGTACTGCTAAATAAACAGCAGGGATATTAACTAAGACAAGAGCCCTTCCATCTCTGAACAGAAAATGGTCCGTGCGCATTGGCAGCATGTAGGGCTCATAAAAGCATTGACGCCTGCTTGCAGATCCTCTTTTGCCGTCCCAGAAATTCCACGCGTGAAGGTGCATCGCGTAGCTTTTCTGGTGGAGGATCCGTCCAATACTTTTCTTCATGGAGATGTTATTGCTTTGGCTGGAATGTTTTACAGTATGGGATTAAACCTTTCTGTCATCACGGAGACCAAACCAGACCCCGCTCACATTCACAGTGACATTTTTCTAGGTATTTTTGAGCTCTAAAACCACCTGTAACTGAATAAATGTAAGGTAGAGCTGTCTAATGTCACACGGTGGAACATTCCAATCAGCACAGTGACATATCCATAGAATCAAGCAAGTGACGGACCCTCAGTCACAAAGTTACACAGTTCACGTTTAAGGCTCATTTATGCTCAGCTTTTGCACGTAAACAGATCCACGACTTCGAAGTAGTGTTGCCAAAAGTACAGAAAATCAGATAATAATCGATATTAAAACTAGTATCGGAACAAGATACTCATTTTGCACAAAAAAAGTCACATTCACAAAAAATTACTTTTCCTGAATAGCTTTAGAATGATCTTAACAAGTATAAGAGCGCACAGACTAGTCATCATCCATGGAGCACGATGGAACCTACCTGGACCACTATCAGAATCAGTATTGAGTATCAAATCTGTTCTTCAGTCTCGAAATAGTTAGAAATGATAGTAACGTGAAAAAAAAACTAGTCCCCAGTGTAGTAACTACAACTGCATTTAAACTTCTCTTAAAAAAAATCACCAGAGACCGCCACTCAAAGTCAGTTGATCAAAACAAAACAGATAGACCAACAAAAAAAACAAACTTAGAGGCACCTACTGCAGTTTTTCGACTGCGTTTACTAGAAAAAAGCCATGAAAACAAGTGTGGGAAGTGTTTACGGACAGACCAAACTGCAGGCTGAACAATGCGCCTTGAAAGTAGAGCATAAATGAGCCTTTAGTTTGCTTCCACGATGATTGCTTTGGTTGGATTTGTCCATTACCAACGATATCACTGTTCTATTGTTTCTGTGCAAAACCAGAGGGCACAATAGCGAAACATGGGACTAGCCAGGACACTTGCGGTCTACCACTGCCGATAAGTAACGTTCATCGACCACCGGGGGGCACCGCTGTCCTTTCCACGCACGAAATAGCTGCCTGCAAGCGTCCGAAACTCCTGATTGCGAACGAGCCAATCAGACGGCAGGACGTTTGTGTTCTGCCCGGCGACTGCTCACGTCACAGCGTTCAGTCCAGCTTCTCCAGCACAGAGGGGACGTAGACCAGGCTGAGCTCGCTGCCGAAGTCGCAGACGATGGCGGCGTTGTCCAGCACGAGCAGCTGCCTCACGCCCTGACCGTCGCCGCTGGGGCCCAGGTACACGGTCTGGAGCAGGTCCCCGTAACTCAAGTCCCAGAAGGAGACGCAGCCCTGGCCCCCCGTCACCAGCAGGGACTCGGAGATGACGCCCAAGCTCGCCCCGCAGCCCACCTCCTGAGACATACAAAAGAGCGTGAGGGAGAGAAAAGGTTGGTTGGTTTCAGTTCTGATAATAAAATGTATAAAAAAGTGGACTAAATGAGTGCGACAGTATTTGGCTCCAGTCAAATGAAGCTCATCGTTTCAGGCAGTGTTTCATAACATGTGACCTCAGAACATGTGAGTCTCGTTTTTGCCTATTTTAGTTTCTTTTTTTTTTCTGACACGAATGGATTAAGAAATAAGTTTTATTTCTTCGCACTCCATTTCAAACAACAATCTTCATTTGTATGAGTCAAACCAAAATAGTTTACATTAATCTCTGTACCACTTTCTGTTTGTTCTGCTGTGACAAAGCACAAAATAAAGAACTTATTATTGTATTACTGGTTCTGCTTAGGGATGCAATGATATTCGATATAATACTGAATCGTTCGATATTGGTCTCACGCTTTGATACATGTGGTCTGTTGATATGCACGTGTCCCTCCATGAGCGCTGTGTTGTCATTTATTTTGGCCCAAAAGAGAAACAGTTATTGCAGCGTCCTCCTCAGATGCAGCAGAAAACAGCTCCATAGGGACTCACAGCTGAAATATTCTAACACTTCACTTTTTATGTTATGCTGATAAACCCAGAAATGACAACGATATTAGCTTTTAAATACTTTGTAATTGCTTTTGGCTTTACATTGGCTTTAATCAAATATGCTCGTATATGCACCTGTGACATGACTCACAATATACGCAATCTTTTTCTCAGACTCCTATCTTGTAAGGTTTAGTCAGAAACAGTATAACATAGTTTGAGTGTGCAGAAAGAGGATAGGAGAGGACAGTGTGTCTATAAGAGAACAGACTGCTGCAGGGCAGTGTGGGAGGAGCTGTCTGTCTCTGCTGGAGGAGGCAGAGCAGTGCAGACACAGAAGTGTTAACACAGTGAGAGAACTCAGGACAGAAACATCAAATCAACTTCAAAGAAGGAAAAGTTTGATAGTGCAGCTCTCCTACCACTCTATATTAAGAGTAGACTGGCTTTAATATAAAATATAAAATAGCCTGAGAAATCTCTGTTCTTATTTTCAATTCACTTTGAGCTGTAAATCATTGAACCAAATAAACTAAAACACTTCACATACAAACTACAGCTGTACAGTAGTTGCACTGTAATGTATTGTGTGTAATGGATGGAATGTGTCATTAATATCACATTAATATCACAGTGTTATTATGTTATACTCATTAGCAGAAAAGAATCTAAAAACATATCAAAATCAAATCAATATTGTGACTCGTATATTGACATATGTATTGAACTGAGGGAAAACCGTTGCATCCCCAGTCCTGCCCATGTATTTCTATCACATGCAGTTCTGGCAAATGACCAACAGATGGTGCTATTCTTCATTATAGTTAATCCTGTGAACAGTCTTTCATTGATTCACGAGGTTTCAAACTCCCCCATCACTAATTCAAACATTTTTCATCTTGGTAAACTGTGAGCTGCAGGAGCCACAGCTGCCCTGGGGCTGAGACAGGCTGGCTCGCTGACCACTGCCACACAGTTACTGACATTGTTACACTGGTCGTGGGAACATGTTCTAGGCTGAGAATTTCTCATAATTGTGGATTATGGTTAAATCAACTATTATGTGGCCTCATATTTTTCCCAGTTTGTACATTTAAGTAGATTGTTGTGAAAAAATAAATAATACAAATAAATAAATGTCATTAAATTATTTCTAGAACTTATACCAAAAGTACATACTCATTTGAACAGTTGAAAAAATACCTGGTCTTGAGGTATATCGGTCCGAACTAGTATTAAACCACATACAAATTTTTATTTATTTTTTTTTTTTTTGTGGTATCCAGGCGTGGACATTTGAGTCTTTTCCTTGTACAGTGACTTCATGCGTCTCACTGGTGTATTCCTCTCACCTGTTGTATGGAGTAGATCTTGATGCCCGTGCTCCTGTCCCAGATGCAGATGAGGTCGTCCAGTCCGGAGCTGATCACACACGTGGTGGTGCACACGAGCGAGGTCACGTCGCCGCGGTGACCGTAAACATGGCTGACGCGACTTCCTGTCAGGACGTCCCACAAGCAGATGGCGCCGTCCTGCCCTCCACTCGCAAGGACCATCGTCTGAGGGACAAATCAAAAAGCACAATCATTTTAACATAATACAGGCAGGACAAGGGTCAAATCAAAATATATTGTCAATTTCCTTATTTTGGTCTAACTTTTGTGGTCAGATGGCAACAATTTTATACACTGCATAATGTATAAAATTGCATTGTTGCATAAAATGATTTTGTGCCCCGCTTTAGACTTGAACAAAAATACAATTAGTGTTTCTGGGGCAGTGATTACATCATTTGCACTCAAAGGTTGGTGGACTAATCCAGTTATGACCAGTGCATATTGTTGTCGTGCCCTTGGGCAAGTGAGTGGGCAGCGTGGCACCACCAAACCTGAGGGGTCAGTGAATAAATGAATAATGCTGTGAAATCTTTTGAGTTCCATGAAATGAATAATTATTTAATATGGATTATATTGTGAAAAAAGAGGTCAATGGTCTGGACACACCTGTGGAAGATCATTTGTTCCATTAGATTTTGAATTTTAAATTGAATAATTTTTCATTCAGAATTTAGTTCCTGAAATTTTAAGTATACTTTTAAAATATTTTTCACGTTCAAAACAAAAATGTCACCTTTTAAATATATTAAATATACTTGAAAATATTTGTGCTTAAAAGTTTTTTTATTTTTTTATATTGAATGTTAAAGGGATAGTTCGGATTTTTTGACATAAATCTGTATGTCATCCCCGTCATCAGTGTTGTGCATCAACACTGACTTACCCCCGAAAGCGTCCGGTGAGCCGAGATACTGGCCCGTTTTGGTGCTGAGGAAAGTAGTTCGGCAAGTTGTGTGGGGACTGTTTACTAAAGCGTTTTTCTTCTCAAAGCAATATGTGTTCAAAAGAGTGATACATTTGCATCACAAAACCATCGTCGCCAAAAAAGTCAGACCTCATAATCGCTTGGCGCTATTTTCTCTCCGTACGTACCACTGCGCGCGGCCGCCAGGTGACAGCCGCGCACGGATCCATCACTTTGTTCAGTTGTTCGGCAGTGTTTACATGCGCAGACCGCCGCCACGCGAGAGAGCTAACGAGAGAGCTAGAGCCAGAAGTATATAAGCCTGGTTCACTTTTGTTTACTGCTCGGAATGTTAGCGACAACATGTCTGATTATGACACCGACAATAAAGACTTTGCCTTTACCACAAACCCAAGGGGAGATCTTTGTGAACCCGAATATACTGATGCCAAATTTCACCAGATGGAGTTAGAACGAGCAGAGAGAGAGAGAAAAGACAGAGAAGTGGTACAAGTTGAAGCTGGAGCCGTGAGAGACCGAGTGAGCGACAATCACCATCACGTCATTTATAAACTCATATACAGCGAACATAGAGCCTCCACTGTGACTGAAGTATGGACGACTAATAGAAACATAGAATCATCCACACGTCCACGTAGCTGCTGACAATAGTGTAAGAGACATTTACAATAGTAATAACAGTCGACTTATAAAGTTACGTTTTGTAGAAGCTTCACTGGTGATATGACACTGAGTGATTTACTGCACACAGAGTTACAGCTGATTCTTGAATCTGTTCTCTTGTAAACACAGCCGCACTTCTTCATTCTTACTTGGTTTGGTTTCCACATTGAAGCCAAAGGCAAGAAGCCAAAGTTTCCTCAGCGCAAAGTCCATGACAGGAAAACAGTGAAATGTGTGTGGAGATTCAGCCAGATTTTTGTTGTTACAGCCTGGAGAATCAAGAGTTCGCACCATTTTTTAGATATATTTATATGTATCTTATACAAGCTCATATACTTCTTATGGCTCTAGCTCTCTCGTTAGTTCTCTCGTGTGGCGACAGTCTGTGCATGTAAACACTGCCGAACAACTGAACAAAGTGATGGATCCGTGCGCGGCTGTCACCTGGCGGCCGCGCGCAGTGGTACGTACGGAGAGAAAATAGCGCCAAGCGATTATGAGGTCTGACTTTTTTGGCGACGATGGTTTTGTGATGCAAATGTATCACTCTTTTGAACACATATTGCTTTGAGAAGAAAAACGCTTTAGTATACAGTCCCCACACAATCTTGCCGAACTACTTTCCTCAGCACCAAAACGGGCCAGTATCTCGGCTCACCGGATACTTTCGGGGGTAAGTCAGTGTTGATGCACAACACTGATGACGGGGATGACATACAGATTTATGTCAAAAAATCCGAACTATCCCTTTAAACACTTTGATAATGTACACTTTTAATTTCATTAAGACATTCAGAATAAAAAAATTCTAACAAACAAATTATCTTTCATACACTCCCTCTCAATGTTTTTTGTCTTATTTTTCTACATTTTGTATACAAACAGAAGATGTCAAATATTTGAAGCAGGATTCATGGAATTACGTAGAAAATAAATATTTTTAAAAGATTTTTTTAGACAAGCAAAGAGAGGCTACTTTGAGGATTTGAATATAAAATGTCTTTAAAAAACAGTAGTTCTTTAACTTTTTCCCTTTGCAACACAAGCCCATATATCTTGCTTCATATATGTGATGTCTTCTGTATGTAAGTAGTAAAAATAAGGGGAAAAAAAAAAATCATTGAATGAGATGGTGTGTCCAAACGTGACTAGTAGTGTTTACTTCTAACTGTTGTTTCTTACTTGGTCAATATAAATAGCTGTGATTCCTCCAGAGTGCCCCTGGAGAGTGAAGAGACAACAAGAGTCTTCCAGTCGATAAACCTGTCAACAAACAGTTTAAGAATGATCACAGGGCAAATATTATTCCTCCATATTCATGTTCTCATACATTTTTATTGAATAATCACAGGGTAAATATTATTCCTCTGTTTTCACGTTCTCATACATCATTATTATTCTTGTGAAACAGTGTCTTACCCGGACAGTGTGGTCCTGGCTCCCGGTCACCACTCTGCCCGCTGCAGCCTTCAGCACAGTGATGGGTTTCTGATGGGCACACTGCACCGAGCGGGTGAGCTGGCAGCTGAGCACGTCCTCACTGCTGTAACAGGGCGAGGCGGGCAGAGCGGCACGGCTCGGGGCACCTGTCAACACACACACACACCTGTTTATGGACTGGTTTAGAGGACCTATATTACGCACAATTAGCTTTGATAGAGGAAAAAAAATAGAAGAAATGAGAATGTGTCCTAACATTTGACCAATGTTTTTTTCTTTATTTTTTTTACTAGTTTCTGTATTTTATGTACACATAGAATACATCAAATTTATGAGGCAAGACATATGGAACTATGTGATATATAAAGTCAAAATCAAAATCTTTTTTGACAAAGAAAAAGGGTGGCTATGAGGATTTGAACATAAAATAAGAGTTATTCAACTTTTTTCCTTTGCTACATAATTCCATATATCTTACTTCATATATCTGTGTACATGCAAAATGTAGAAAGTAGTAAAAATTAGGAATAAAACCTAGAAATTACCTCTGTACTGCAGGAGCCCCAGAGGTTTGTTCATTTCAATGGTGAAGAAATCTAGAGACCCATTTAGACGAGCTGCCACAATTCTGAAAAAAACAAAACAAAAATTCTTTTAACATTTATAAGTTAGCTCTGAAATCAGTCCAAGCAGCACAATGGTCTGTTTCCAACCTGTTGTTGAGAAATGCCAGAGCTGTGATCCCAGAGACGCCATCGTCATTGACACAGCGCAGAGTCCCCTCCACCGCATCCCACAACTGAACCAGGAAACACAACTCAGTCAGCAAGGAAATTCTCTGTTTGTAGTTTATCGATGAACATGTATGGAATGTTTTAATTAACTTTAAGATTTAAAAGGTCTTATATTACACAAAAGAGTTGTGTTTTGTTTCATTCACACAAGTTTGAGTAGGGCCGAGCATCAAGAAGTTGCTGATACGATACATAGGCCACGGTATGAAACATATCCTGATACAGTCCTTCCTACACTTCCTGTGCAAAGTTCATATGAAACACATTTTAATCATCAAAACAGTGAATATGTTGAATGTGTTGCATAAACAAGTTTCCTTCCCCTAAACAAGCAACAAAACTGTAACTGTAAAAAAATAGTTTTGTAAAATATACCAAAAAAATACTCTTGGCGATATATTGATATCGATATTGTATCATCACATTAAATTATAAGATATATCGATATTTCAATATTTTTGCACACCCTTATGTTTGAATAACCCATTATTATTAGTCTGTCTACATGTCCAAAACTCAAAGCTGAAGCTGAAATTTTCAATCCACCTTTTACCTGGCAATTCTAGGGATGAAATTATTCAAATGATTCTAGTGAAGGTGTAAGGTGTTTAAAAACACAGTGGAGCACTTCCTGTACTACCACATGACATCACAAGGTGGAACAAAGTGTTTTCTGTGAGAGAAGAACTAAATCTGCAGGCTTAGTGTGTTAAACATGTGTGAATGAAACAAAACACAACTCCAGGTCTGTTTGTGATGAGGAAACAACATCATAACAGAGATCATAAATTGAAGACGTGTTTAAACTGTAGAATGGACACAGCTCTACAGTCTCTTTACCTCCAGTTTCCCGCTGCTCCTCCCTGCAGCGATCAGGTTCCCCCGGAGGTCCATGGCCCAAACAGAGCTGTCCCAGTCGGCCTGCGCCCCTCCTGTCACTGCCCTCTCCTGGACTTGAGGGCTCACTGCGGTCTCCCCCAGGCTGGCCCTCCTCTGCATCAGCATGCCCGCTCCGGTGGGTGGAGAGGACGAGGCTGAAGAGGGGCTGGTGTAAGGCGAGGGGGAGGGGGGCTCGTGCTCTTGGTACGCCCTCTCCACCAGGCCCCCGAAGTCGAAGCCTCCTGTGGGCGGGGTGGAGGGGCTGGTGGAGAGGCCGGTGGTGGGGCAGGTGGAGGGGGCAGCGGTGGAAGGCTGGAAGCTGAAGTTAGTGTCTATGAGCGGGGTGAGGTCGGGCTGGTCGGCGAAGAGGGCGATGCGTACGGGGGTGGAGCGGCGTCTCAGCGGGTAGCCCTCGTCGTCAGAGGGCAGGTCCCCGCCCACAGACAGGTCCTGGGCCTCGGAGCACAGACAGTCTGACTCTGGGCCTGTGGTGCTGCTGTCCCAACCGTCACGCTGCTCCCAACAGCCACTGCTGCTACTGCTGCGCCGCAGTCTGCACCACAGAGGAACTGTTAACATACTAACAAGTACAGCAACACGTATACTTTGGTTTAGTCTGGTTTTTATGAGCTTCATGTCTCTGTACATTCTCCTTTCAAAAGATGTGTCCCACCAGAAGAGCTAGTTTCCATCTGCAGCCCCCGATTTACAGAAATAACTGACAGAATGCACATTCAGTCAACGATAAGAGTTCACACTGTCCACTCTCTGACATACAAACATACAGTTGTGGCATTTATATACTTAGAAACTAGTAACATAGTCTTACGTGTTGTTGGGGATGACAGTTAAACAGTCTCCAGTCTGTGCGTCCCAAACTCGGATCTGTCCGGCGAGGCAGCAGCTGGCCAAGAGCATCCCATCACTGGCCAAACACTCGATGTCCTGCACCAAAGAACCGCACGATTAAGAAAACCTACACAGTCACTATGCTTTATGTATTTCACTTTTTCCCAAACACAGACTACAGATCATTTTATGGAAGTGGAACACTAAATCAACAGTTCTGCATCTAAACACCATATGCACAATATGATGTTTTAATAGTTTTTTCCATCTTGGCATGAACCCACTGTATGGATAATTCGGTGGACTAATCACAGAGTAGATGGAAGCTCTTTGTGTGTTTGTGAACAAGGGAGATGTCTGTGCTTTTCTCTGAACTGGATTTAACTCAAGTTTGATTGGTCGAAGCGTCACAACAGCATAACAAGCTGAAAAATCAGATTCAGACAGTAAGTTCTGTGTTTTCTGATCTCTTTTAGCAGAGGGACACACATGCCAATGCCTGGAGTGAGCCAGGTTAGGTGTATTTGTATCTGGTCAAAGATGGTCAACAGGGTGCATGTTTGCTGCCTCCAGTGGCCAGTGCAATTACAAGTACTATGTGACATCACACATGACTTCCCTGATTACAGGGGGCATAGTTTGAAGTGTGGATATCTGTTAGACCAGGGGTGGGCAATTATTTTTTTCCATGGGGCCATATTAGAAACAGAAAATATTGTGGAGGGCCAAAATGCTTAACTCAATTCTGCATAATATGAATTGTATTTCTTTATAAAAAGCAGTAAATAGCATTGTTTAAACAAGCTGGTCAGACTGGTAAGAGTTTGTCAAGACTAAGCAAAGAAAAAGTGAGGCTAACATACAAAAATGTCATAAAAAAAACCTCTAAAATAAAAGCAATGCAGCTTTAGTCTATGCATGAGGTACAATTATAAAACATGTTTATTTTGTAATTCCAAATGAGCTAAAACAGGCTGGTCAGAGTCAACCACAGAGCCGTATGTGACCCAGGAGCTGGACAATGCCCAGATCTGTATTAGACCAATCACACTATTCCTTATAACTCCAGACCCGCCCCTCCTCCCCCGTCCCTCACCGTCCCCTTCAGTCCACCAGGTACTGCCCAGAGTTTAGAAGTTTTGCTCCACTTTAAGCCAGTATATGGTACAGTTTCTTTTCTTACCATGCTGTGTCCTCGGAGCAGCAGGGGGGAGATCTCGCTGACAGGAGGGGTGTAGCCGTAGTCGTCACAGGGCAGGTCCCCTCGGCGGCGCCTCCCGGTGGCCACTCCATTCTGACCGTAGTTCCGAGGACAGAGGAGGCGATAGAGACAGAAGAGCAGGAGGACGAGAAGAACTCCAGCCGCTAAACCCAACGCAGCCACTCTGAACACAAGAGACACAGATCACAGGGCTGAACACGAGTATTCTCATGTAATAAAGTCAAATATGTTTTGCCCCAGTATTCGAGGTGGGATGAGACACAACGAGATGAGACGAGATACGAGACTGGGTCCATGAGAATGAGACATGACGAGATTGACATCATTTGTAATAATTAAATTGTAAAATCCAGTTCACAATTTGTTATGCATTTTATTTTATATTTTTGTTGTCTATGTCATTATATTACCCAAATTTGTTAGGCCCCAGTACTAAGGGTGGGATGAGGCAAAATTATGGAAAATAATTTGTTTCATCAGATTCAGAATTTTAAATGCTGTTGAATTTCTTACTTTTAAATTTTTTTTACTCTGAAAAAACATGTTTGAATAATTTTTATTCTGAATTTTAGTTGTGGAAATTTTAAGTGTACATTTTATATTTATATAATATATTTTATTGTATAAAAAAAAAAAACTGATAAAAAAACAAACAAAACATTTTTAAAATATTCAGCACAAATATTTTCCTCAAATTCTAGAAGTCAAAATTCAGAGTATTTAATATTTAAAAGGCAACGTTTTTATTTTGAATTTGAGACATATCGTAAAAGTAAAGTAAAAAGTAAAAAAAAAAAAAAAATTCAAAGTGAGAAATTCAGAGGTATTTAAAATTTTAAATCTAATGGAACAAACAATCTTCCATACAAAATTCCCATAAAATGACATGAGATACAAGATTTGGTCCAAGAGAACGAGACAAGATGAGACTTTGACACAATTTGTAATAAATAAATTGTAAAAAACATTTCACAGTTTTTATAGTCGATGTGATTTCACTGTGTTTTGGAACTACAGCTTTTCAAAGAGGCGTAACTCACCTGAGGAAAACCTTTTTTGTGGTGTGGGATTTTATTTGTACAGGGACAGTGCACAACAACACATTAACCAAGACAAAAGTTATAGAGATGATGCTGGTGCCAGGTTATAAAATGGATGTTCATTTACATGTGTAGTCCCTGAGCGGTTTGGTGAAAATACTGAAAATAAAGATTCAATTTATATAGATGAGGTGCATTGTGTAACTTTTCTCTGTGGAGATTTTATTGCTTTGTCTAGAATGTTTCACAGTATGGTATTACACCTTTCCATCTTCATGGAGACCAAACCAAAAAAGATTACAGGTCACATCTGTGGAGAGGCGATTATGCTCACAGTCAGAAATTTCCAGGCCGGGCAATGAAATATCCATAGAAACATGCAGGTGACGGACCCCCCAAACAAAAAGTTACATAGTGTGCCTTTAAAGTCCTTTCAACTGACAACAATCAAAGCTTTGGGGTTGAATATTGGCACATCTTTCTTTCTTGACCTTCATGTTTTTAGGCCGACTAATTTCAGAGATATTAACCATAAACCAGGTCAACAACTCTGCAATCATAAGTAAAGGATTCTGACTGAATGTAAACTATTGTTTTTTCAGCTTAATTATATCTTATCTTTTAACAATAGCTGTTGTAAAGTTACAGTGGCAGAGTAGTTAACAGCGCTTTCACCTTGGCCTACATGTGTTTGGGTTATCACTGTGAGATTTGTCAAGGTCAGAAGAGCCCTGATGTGATCCAAACTCCGCATGTGTCTGAGATAAACCAGCCTGCAGTACACCGACTGAACACTGGGGGAGACAAAGCACCGAACACAAAAACATTCAGAGCACCTTTATTTTCTGTCTATTAAACATATCAACAAACCTGAATCTAATTTAGTCTAGGTGAGTGTCTCCTCCTGCGTGTTTCCATGGAAATGTTGTTGCTTTCACTATAATATTCCACAGTATGTCGTAAAACACACCAACCTCTGTGGGGAAAGTTCCTAAATATGTGAACTTTTTATTTAACTTTCCATTTACATGTAATCATGCAGCGGACGTGCCAGCTCCAGAAAGTTACACAGTGTTGCCTTTAAAAAAATATATTCATTTGCATTCTGTACTGATTACCAAATAACAGAAATATTTGTTTGAGAAGGTTTGGCCAAAAAACTGAAAACTGAAAATCCTGCTTAAGACTTATTTTGTCAGTGGTATAAATGAGTTTCAATTCATTGTTTTCAGCTCCCTGTCCCATTCAAAAGATAAAATATTTTGTTTTAAATAGTTTATGGCTACAGCAACAGTCACAAGATGATTCTGAAACCCCCGGACAGTATCATTTATTGTCTTAAAGATTTTTACTCACTGGCTTTTAACACGACGTGAAAATTGTGTGGTCCTCTGACTGTTTTTTATTGATTTTATTTGCTATATTTCTATTTGCTGTTGTTTTTTATTGACTTGCTTATTTATTTTATGCTTCATTTTATTTAATGTGCTAATTTATATTTACCTACTCTGTGCAGCACTTTGGAGACTCTGTGTTGGTAAAATGTGCTGTACAAATAAAGTTGGGTGGGATCAGATACATTTTAGGTACAAAATATTGCACTTCAAAATGTGTTACTTGGCCAGGCCTAGGCTCTGAAAATGAGGCTGAAGTGTTTATTGGTAGCTTTCTGATTGTAGAATGTGATGTTGTCATACTCCCAGATGAGGGGCAGGAACCAGATTTTCCTTTTGATTACATTGTACTTATTGGATATTTCATGGCAAAGTTACAAATTTTGGATCTGATCATTTCTATGAGTGTCTAGACCCACGAACTCACTGTATTACAACAAAAATCTGAATTTTAGCAATATACATTTTAGCTGCCCCCAACTGTATGAAATATTATTGATCTATAGAATGTTGTGATGTAATCTCAAAACCAGCAACAGAAAAGATACGACAAAAAGAAATCTGGAAATGTATTATGTAAGATTTACAGTGAGGTTGAACTTTTATCTTATCAGATACAGTAAACAATATCTGTCCAGTGACATTTGGCACAGACTTCAAACTGACCCCAGATGTGAAAGTAAAGGGTTTGTTTTTCAAGACCTAATCATCTCTTGGACTTAAAAAAAAAAAAAAAAACAGTGTGAGACTTTGCACAGTGGACCTGTATAACATCAGATATACGAAGCAGGATGCGTGGCTTTCTCTCAATGAGATTTATGATGAAGTCTCCTGAAATTTTCACTGTCCCTTGACAAGGTTCATAAGTGGAATTCAAAGCTGTGATCAAAGTAGAGAGTAAAGGATATTTTGAAAAATATAAAATATTAAATTTGTTCACATATTTTTTTACTGCACTCCTTGTGTTCATTCAGTTTTGAAGCCTTCAGTGAGAATATACTAGCCTGATTCATCAGCCGGTTTCACTTCGTAGAAACTGTCTGAGCTTGCACCATTAGAATTCGTTCGCTCGATGGTAGGTAGGTACTTTTATCATTTAACCAATCGCTGCTATTTGGTCATGTTGGATGTAATGCGCCACTAACGGGGCTAAATGGTATATTAAGCTTTTCCCAAATCCCGTAGGAAGGAGGACAATAACGTCTTTCCCCTTGATAAAATTCACCAAACATTGTCTTTATTCTGGCTTTAAATCCTCGATCTCGGGAATCGTTGACAATACTGAATATATGGCTCTTCGCTGATTGGCTGGTGCCCGAACTTGCACTTCCAGGGTTTTTGCAAACCGTCTATTGCATTTTGATTCCTGGCCTAGTCGCTGGAGAGAAATAAAATTGAGCAGACGCACTAGGTGGCACCAGTCTGGCTAAGAACATACTGTGATAGAAATTTATAAAGATTTCACTCAATCTGTCTTTGTGTAAATGAATGTGATTTCTACCTGAGGCCAGACCAGTCATTAACATGTGCTCAGCACACACACAACCTTCCCCACCCTCAGGAAAACATTTGTTGTACTACCTGTCCTCAAATCTAAGTTAGGTTGATTAGCATAACTCACTCTGCTTTGATATGTATGTAACTTGTACTTCTGTATAAATACTCAGAGCTCAAATACTCTGGGGGGAGATGGAGAAAAGGGACTTGAAGAGGTGACTGGAGAGAGGATACTCAAGAATGTCTGTTGTTCTGTGGCCAGGGCAAGCCAAGGTTCGGTCCATATCTGCTGTAATCAGAAATATCCTTTGTCTGTATTCCAAAACTCATCAGGCTTCGCAAATTGATTAATTATTTATCATCAAGAGATGCATAATTTTTTCCACAAAAATACTAACGATACACTGATAGAGATAACAGGATCAGGGATCGGTCCCATACCAGGTACCAGGACTCATCAGTGTGCTGCAGAAATCACTATAACAGAAAAGTGACCATAAAGAACTGCACATTAAGCTCATGTTTAATTAGACGTGACTGTTAAATGAACTATAAAAAGATTTAGGACTCTTAAAGGTTTTTATTAGGGGTGGGACGAGACACACTTTTCACAAGACGAGACACACCACGAGATCAGGTCCATGAGAACGAGACAAGACAAGATTTTGAGACCATGTGCAATAAATAGGTAGTGCAATCCATTTCACAATTTTGACTTCACTATTTTCATGTATTTTATGTCATACTTTAGTAGTCATTGTAGTACTGCTTTTTGGAATTACAGCTTCTCAAATTGTTTTAACTCACCAGCTCTTTTTTTGTCTGAGGTAAAGTAAAATTCAGGGGGGGAAACATTCACAAGATAATTTTTCTCATACGTGCACGATCTTGTGGCAATTTGTTCCATCTTGTCCCATCTGTAGTTTTTATAGTTCACAGGATATTAATGTTGCTAAGTGGTGCTGGAGATTATTTGCTTTTAAATGCTTTATGACTTATGGAACTGACAAGCATTTATCAACAAACAAACATTTAGGGACTGGATAGATGTGAGCTTTGAAAAGAGGTACAGCATGTCCATTTTGGTGTGTCCATGTGTGGCCATAGTAAAAGTTAAGGCTGCCACACACTAAAGGATTTTTCAGTCTTAAACGATTTTTAAAAGTGCGACACACAAGGAGAATCTTAGGAGACTTTAAATCTCCGATCGCAAAGACTGCAGCGGGATATTATCTGCGGACCACAGGATATAAAGTTGTGAGCGCAACTCGCATCAGTTGTTTCCTGTCCACAGTAAAACCACTCGCACTGAGATTCTTAAGTGTTCAAAAGATCAGACTCCGCACTTCTAGGTTAGATGCAAGTCAAAACTGTGTTGTTATTATTTGTGAAATGTGGTGCAAAACTTCAGATACATGATTATTAAAGCACAGAAGATTGGAGATAAAGTCCACAGAAAGTAGAGTCACTATCACTAATCTGCAGCTTCACCTCGATCTGTGCGCTGTGTGGATGTAAACAGGCACACGTGAGGAACTACTCTCACCTTTTTACTTTTAAAGAACGCCTCAAACTGGATTCACAGCGCTGTTTTGTGGACTGGATGTCATTATTTGCGGAGAACAATTTCTATGGATAATGCAGATGAAATGCATTTACCACTTTACGAGAGGTGAGTAATAAAGTCTTTTCATTATTTTTGCTATATCCCGAGGTTGTATCATGAAGAAAATAGCTGTTTTTTCGTTTTGTTATTTTTGGTTTTATTTTGAAAAACGAAAGATACACGGATACTTCATCTTCCCGCTTTCTGACTGGTCCTCCTCCTCCCCCCTCCTCCCCCCAGCTCTCTACAAGTGTAAATCAGTTTTGCCACATGCACATCGCAAAATGTGTTGCAAAAGTCAAGGCGCGCAGATTTGAACCTGCTGGGAAACATTTGAGAAGTTGCAGTCGCTGAATTGTGGTTGTATCTGTCATAATAGATGCAGATGTCACTCTGTTCATGCAAATATCAAATCGACACATTTATTCATATTTTTCTCCCGCGTGTGTAAATATTTTCCACAAGTGAAAATTTAATTCCGCAAGTTCACACATTTTTTTCAAGCACTCGTGTGTTTTTTTTTCACCGTGACTGCAAATTCAACACACATGTATATGAAAATAGGTAATTACAAGTTCAAAGTTTTGTTCTACACATTCTCACATTATATTCTACAAGTTCTCAAATCAAGTTTACACGCTCTCTCATTTTGCAACATATTTATCTTCATACGTCTGCCCCTGATGCTCTGTTTTATTGGCTGGTATTTGGTGGTTACGATTTGACAGAGCAGCTCAGAGTCACACTGACACCACACACACGAGGAGCACAGCAGCTTCAAAATCGCAAACAAAGACAAAAAGTCAGGTCACGCTACCCTGAACTGAGGAATAAACAAATTGCAGCCTAAATTGGGCAAATTCTCCTGTAGTGTGTGGCGGCCTTTAGAAAACGTTCACTGTTAGGCTAAAAGTGTCTCAAAATAGTGTTGGTGCATCCCTAGAATCTACAATGTAAACTGTCATCAAAACACCAAACTTTGAACTGGTAATATAAAATCAAACACACAGTGAGACACACACGCTGAGACACACACACACGCTGAGACACACACGCTGAGACACACACGCTGAGACACACACTGAGACACACGCGCTGAGACACACACACGACACACACACACTGAGACACACACACACTGAGACACACACACGCTGAGACACACACGCTGAGACACACTGTGAGACACACTGAGACACACTGTGAGACACACTGAGACACACTGACAATGAGTGTGTTTGCGTTGGTACTGACTTGTATAGCGTGATGTCGGCCTGCAGGTCCTGGGGCGGTTTGGGTGGGGCGGGGGGCGGAGGGGGGTGGCGGGTGTCCTGTGGGTGGCGGGTGTCCATGGCCTCCTGGGGGGTCAGGTGCAGAGTGACAGGGATCACAGGCAGGATACTGATGTACCTGAGACGGAGTTACAGCACAGAGCATTACAGCACCTGTCAGAGCTCAGACACGAGTCATTTTCTCACATTAAAGTGCCCATAAAACACTATTTTCTGATGTTACAATGCTATTCCCTCATCAAAAACTTCCTTCAAACAGAACACCACCTTGTGATGTCATGTAGTAACACAAGACGTGCCCCACTGTGTTTTTAAACTCCATGCACCTTCAGCAGAATCATTTGGATCATAGTCCAATGAGATTCATTTGGTCTTCCTTTGTTTTATGTTATTAAGTTCTTTTTACAGTCCAAGAGTTTGTTTTTTCATACCTGACAGTTTCGACTGTTCACTAGCTGATCTATCAAATGAAATCAGCTGACTGGACACATCACAGCAACATCACGTGACCACTCTGAGGAAGACGGCTAGTGAGCAGTCGAAACTGTCAGGTATGAAAAAACAAACTCTTGGTCTGTAAAAAGAACCTAATAACATAATCATTTGGATCATTTCCAACACTGCAATTACCAATATCAACTGAACAAAAGGTAAAAGGAGCTGTTCACTTGAAAACTACCACAACATGACATCACAAGAGAATTTTGAGCTTTAGTGATGTAGTATGATTCTCAAAAAAAAGGTCAAATTTGTTTCGATTCAATTCAATCTTGTATTAAGTTCGATTCTCACGTGTCCCTCCATGTGGATTGTGTTGACACTTTGGGACGGGCAGGAAAAGGTGAACCCTTTCTTAGATGAAGAAAGTAAATAGCTCTTTACAGACTCACTGCTGCTGTATTCTAACAGAGGTGAGTGCCGTCTTTCAGTCACTTTTTATTTTTTGTTGATAGACTCAGGTTTGACAAAAATATGAACTTTTAAATACTCAAAAAATGCTTTTCTGTTTTTTGCATGTTAGTCAAATGCACTCGTAATACACACGCAACTTGTACCATTACATTCCTTTAAAAAAAAAAAAAAAAAAAAACATTATTGCCTCAAATTCACTGAGTAAATAACATGTGTAGACATTATTACATCTACATGTTACGTCTTATAACATATTTAGAGGCTGCTGCTGAGAAGGAGAGGAGCAGAGACTTTTAGTCATCGAAATAAATAAATGCAGAAAATACAAAGATGTGATGGTGAGGTTTATGTCTAACATTGCATTTCAGTAGCATAAACCACATGCTCCTCATGAGACACAGTGTTTTTCAAATGACTGCTGCCTAAACCATTAAGCCAAATATTTATTCATAGTGGCCAACTTGAATTGAATCATCCCATAACTACAGCCTAAGAATGCAGGATTACTCAAACATATGTGAATGAAACAAAACACAAATCCAAGTGTGTTTGTGATGAGGAAACAACATTATAACATGACTTAAAGCTCACAAGAGTCTATTTAGTGTAATACAGGACGTTTATATGATATGATGTCAAATGTAAAACTCCCTCTCACCTCTTTGCCAGAGTTATGTTGTAATACCCAAACAGCGAAGGCCAGTGCCTGAAGGACAGCCTCCTCCAGCCCTCCTCGTCCTCGGCGCCCCACGTGATCTGAGGCACGGCGGGAGGGGGGCCTTGAGAGAGGATGGCGAGCCTGGGGGCGGCGTGGTGCCCCTGGGACTGGTTCTCGGGCAGAGGGGTGGGTTCTGGAGGCGGGTGGACACTCAGGGTGCTGGTCGGGTCGGCTCCGCGGAACACAGGAGCAACGCCCAGGTGAGGGGGCAGCCCGCCGCCCCCAGCGTCACCCAGAGGACTCTGCTCAGACACCTGCGCTGCCAGGTAGGTCCTGAGCCCCGCCGGGTCGGTGTACACCAGGATGCCGATCCAGATCACTGTTCCAGCCTGTGCACGGAAACAACAGGACAGTTATAGTTAGTCTTGTAGCATAACTCCTCATCATTTTCAAGGTTTTCAGGAAAATACAAAATAAACATCCTGTGTCAATAAGATGACTGGGCAGTTTATGGTTTTTGATAGGCTTGTTTCAGTTTTGTTTGGAAACATATAGTGCGATTATAGATCTGCAAATATTACACTGTAAAAATATCCTGTATTTTTCAGACTATAAGTTGCACTTTTTTACATGGTTTGGGTGGTCCTGCAACTTATACTCCAATGCAACTTAACTTCACCATGACAGCCATGAGAGGGCGCTCTAGTCTTGTGTGTGAGTATCTGCTGCTCCTGTTCCTCCTGTACCACTGTCACTTCACTCTACTGCACATGTCTCCTGCAGAAAGAGCCTCTGTCCTGTCTGTATCATGTCAGTCGATCGCACCATTACTTCTGCACCACTGAACATTTAAACATTTAACATTTAAACAAACTTATAAAGACGACTGAGAAGACTGAAGACAAATGCCCCCAAAAAGAAAATCTGATTTTGCAGATTACAAGCTGCAAGTAGCAAAATCTGCAACCGAAATGGTAATCAAGCAGCAGAAAGAAAATTTGGAAGATGCACCATGAAACTTTCCTGAAGTCACTGGATGGATGGACAAAGCCTGGACTTCAGTGACACCGAAACCATCCTGTCGGGATTCAGAAAGACCCGAATAATTCTAACTGGAACTGATGGTGAGTCTGACGACAGCGACACAGAAGAGGAAGAGGCGCTCTGTTTACCTCCAGAGGTCAGAGAGTTGCTCAGATGTGACACCGAAGATGAAGAATTCAAGTGATTTAGTGATTTGGAGTGAGATGGAGAGTTTGGTAAACTTGTTCTGTTCTGTTGTTTATGTTATAGTTTATCTGAAGAACTGTTCATATGTGACGTTAACAGTCTGTTCTCTGTTCTGTTGTTATTACTAGAACTTGACATTCAACATGAAATGTCAGTTCTGATTTTATAAAATAAATTTCCCCCCAAAAGTGCAACTTATAGTTTGTTGTCACTTATATAAGTTTTTATCTTCTTCATAATGCATTTTTTGCCTAGTGCGACTTATACTCTGGAGCAACTTATAGTTTGAAAAATACTGTAATTAAAGTTGGGCATTTTAATCGGGCCTTGGATTTATGTCTGTACAACAAGGCTCTCTTCCTCATGTACAGCACAGAGACACATTGCACTTCTATGGGGTATTTGCTGCTAACACACGACATATTTAGATAATCCTGAAAATCCTATATTTGCCAAAAACAATTTACTGGAGATCTACTTACAGGAGAAGTTGCTCCCACTTCACAGCGCTATCACAGTGCAGCTGGCCTGCATTCCACTTTGAGAAGTTAGTGTATTAATTGTATATTAAAAGAGAATTGTTCAGTGGAAGCATGGGAGATATAGACTTGTGGGCGGAGCACTGTACAGGATTGCACGAATAGGGCCCGGGAGAGATCGCTAGATTACTTAAATATGCAAGGATGACATAAAAAACACTTCAGGTATGTTTTTGATGAGGGAAAGAGTTATAACATTGTAGAAAGTGCCAAAAAGTCAATTAAATGCTTTTTAAACACAACACCATCTCTACAAACAGGCATTATCAAACTATGGCCCGGGTGTCACACCAATTTCTCATGGCCTTCAGGCTTCCAAGTGAATTGGCCCAAATTACCTTTAGCAGTACTTTTTACTGCAAATATTGTTTTTGAAATCTACCTTGATAAAGCCAATATAAAGCTCTTTTGGGCATATATAATGGTACATTGTGTAACTTTTCTGGTGGAGGGTCTGTCAAATTATTCCTTTTCTGGAATGTTTCACAATATGATGTTAAACCTTTGGGCCCGGTCAAGCAGAAGTAAACAAGCAAGGCCAAAAATTCAAGTTAATGCATCTGATATAAAAATGTATTCAACAGATACATATGTACTCTAGTTTATGAAACTGTTTACCTTTTTTGGACCATTTTTGGTTCTAAAGTTACATACGTTTTAAACAGACAGAACAGAACAAAAATTATTTCCCAACTTTCAAAGACCTGCAAATCATGTCAATAAATGGATGTATTTCATCATATCTTGTGTTATTCATTGATGCAGGTACATGATTTAAAAAAAAAAGTATTTAAAATGATAAAAATTTGCTTGGAAGGACTGACATATTTTATAGAAATAGTTTCCTTTCATTTTGAAGTAATATTAAAGTATTTGGAAGAAAAAAACTGACAAATGATGTAAAATCATGCACCTTCTACTTGCTTGCACAATTTTCCCTCCGTTACTCCGTTACCAACATGAGTTTTAAAATTTTTGTGAACAACTTGAAAGAATATCACAGGTTTAACTTGACCCTGTTGGAGTGTAACTCTTTCCTACATTCTGATACTTTACTTATTTCAATAGTCCCTCTAGTTTCTGAATAAGAGACATTTGAATGTAAAAAATCTGCCCCTGTTTCCCTCCGTTACCACTTGACCGGACCCTTTTCTATCTTCATGGAGACCAAACCAGACCAAATTACAGATCAGATCTGTGGAGAGGCGACCCCGCTCATAGACAGAATGAAAAAAAAAAACAACAACTCATATTTACATGAATCACTATACTGAGCAAACACTGTACTGTAATCACCAGTCCTGGTCCTCTGCTTCATCTGTGTTTTGATGTAGATGGATAAATACTTTATTGATCCCAAAGGAAATTCAAATGTGGCCCTTGATGAAAAAAGTTTATTTTTTTCCCTCACCATAATGATCCTCTGAGCCAGGCGGGTGCGAGCCAAGAAGTAGACCACGCGCAGTCGTTTGGGGAGCCGGGGGAAGCTCCGCATAGGGGGGGTCTGGAGGGTGATGGTGTGGGGGGACGGCCTGGAGGGAGGGGGGGCCTCTCGAGCGCGCAGGGGCCCCGGTTTGGGAGGAGGCAGCCCTGCTTCAGCCGGGAGACGACGATTCAGGTCGGCCAGCTGGAAGGCAGATGTAACACTCAAACTATAAATCCTCTCAATTATCATTAGTCATTACATTGCATATTAATATTTTACAGCTGATTTCATCAACATTCACTGGAGGAGTGATGCTAACTGAAGGCACTGCTCTGTCTGAGGCTCTGTTAGACTTTAATCTGATCTTTATTTGAACACAATCTGACCAGAAAGAGCTGATTTGTGCTGTTAAACAAGTCTCTCATGCAATAAACATTTCAGATTCATGGTCCTCTGTTATGTTTATACCAGAAATGAACATCTTAGAGTATAAAAATACTATACAGACACTACTCCGCCCCTTGAATTCTGGGTCAAACTTACCTCCATGCGGCGGATATCTATGGAAAGCACAGTGGTGAAGAAGAACATCTGAAGGAAGAAGTCTGACACCAGCCCCACCACAGCAAACAGGCAGAACTCCTACAATACAAATACATGAGAATACTGCAGATAATACTACACAAATACATGAGAATACTGCAGATAATACTACACAGATACATGAGAATACTGCAGATAATACTACACAAATACATGAGAATACTGCAGATAATACTACACAAATACATGAGAATACTGCAGATAATACTACACAAATACATGAGAATACTGCAGATAATACTACACAAATACATGAGAATACTGCAGATAATACTACACAAATACATGAGAATACTGCAGATAATACTACACAAATACATGAGAATACTGCAGATAATACTACACAAATACATGAGAATACTGCAGATAATACTACACAAATACATGAGAATACTGCAGATAATACTACACAAATACATGAGAATACTGCAGATAATACTACACAAATACATAAGAATACTGCAGATAATACTACACAAATACATGAGAATACTGCAGATAATACTACACAAATACATGAGAATACTGCAGATAATACTACACAAATACATAGGAATACTGCAGATAATACTACACAAATACATAAGAATACTGCAGATAATACTACACAAATACATGGGAATACTACAGATACTATCCAGATGTGTGGAGCGAGAGGACAGGAGATTAGTCTTACCTGGATGGCGGGCACCAGAGTGAAATAACCAATGAGAATGATGCACAGCTCCGTGGCCATGTTCTTCATGATAGACCAGCTCTCATTACTTAGGCCTGGAATACAGAAGGTAGCACCGTCTCAATGTGCATCTCTTACAATAAAACAGGATTATACATTTTATATATATATTTTGTTTGTTTAAACCAACAAAAAGATATGTCTCAGATATGAGTATTTGAGGACCAGACTTGGCCAGTTCCTCTAGTGAAATGAACTCCTAGACAAAGTTATTTCAAAGTAAAAGGTTAAGGTTAGCCTTTATTGCCCTGTAGGGAAATTTGTCCTCTGCAATTAAATCATCTCTCACTGCTGCTGGGACAACCTGCTGCAGTGCTGAACCCAGTGACCCAAGCCTGGAGACAATGGACAATGGACAATTCAGATTTTAATCAACTGAATCATAGACTGCTCGTCTTCCAAACAGGGGAAGCAGTTTGCATGATACCTTAACTTATTATTTAAGAAATGATAAACATGTAACACATCTCCAGATATGACAGTGGTCTTGGTCAGGATGAGTTTAGCTGGATTATACAGATTTTTAGTGGGAGAAAAATGCAAACTCTGCATAAAAACATTACACATTAGGTACCTTGGGCTATGCGCAGTTTGACCTCCAGGTCGACTGGAGTGGACACCACAGACTTGGTCAGCACCAGAACGTTCTCCAGCCCAATGACCACCACCAGGTAAGGGAAGATCTCACTGGAACACAAATGACATGAACTCATTGGGCTTCACTCAGTAGGTATTAGAGTGACCAGGATTTCAAAATAAAAACTGGGACATCCTTGGTTTTTTGGTGGTTGGTAAGAATATTATGTTATGCTGAGACCATTCATGACTAACATGTGTCTGTATAGTCACATTTTCTTTGTGTTTTGGTCATTTTTAAGCAGCTTTTCTGTATTTTACCTAAAGCAAATTACAACTGATCAAAAATAGGGACACCTGGGACATTTCTTGTATAAAACTGAGACAAATAAGCGGTTTTGGATAAATCTGCTGGGACAGGGGACACAGGCTCAAAACTGGGACTGTCCCGAGTAAATAGGGACACCTGATCACCCTAGGCTAATGTACTCTCTGAAACTATTACAGCTTTTACTACAGCACAAGATCCGTAAATCAGGACAAGCACAAAGAGTATATACATTTTGAAAACAACGTCTAGCATGCTAACACAGTCCGCAATTCCTGATTCTCAGACAATAAAAAAAGGTTAATTAGATGCAGACAGACACCACAATACACAGCAGACTTATAGTGACCTCAAAATCTATTTATATGATATTTCTGTACTGGGACAGGACAGATTTTGATCAAATACATGGACAAAAAAATTAAAACACCCCAGGTATAGAGCCCTTACTGCAATTATGTCAGGAATTTACTATCCTTCAGGTTGTTAAATACAGAATGCAGCTACAGTGATTGAGCAGACTGGTTTGGAAAGTTGAGAAAAAAAACATCCACCCTGCCCCGATTTACCCCTCCCTCCTCCCATTTACCCCGCCCTTGAAAGTGTCGCCAGGTTCAACTGAAACTCTGCTTTTATTTATTTATTTTAAGACCTGAGTCATCCCCACTCAGCACACAGACGCTATTATAAACACACAGACCCACCACATGTTTGTACACATCTAAACTATGCAACATTTCATTAGATAATACTGACGGGGATGAACCAATCCAGCTTTTTCTGTTCAGATACCGATAAATATTTTTAACTATCTGCCGATACTTGATATTAACCAATACTTATATGGAAAAGGGATGGAAAATGGGACGAGAGATCCAATTAATAAATATACCGTATTTTCCAGGCTATTAGTCGCTCTGGGTTATAAGGGGCACTGTCATTAAAGGGTCCATTTTCGAACTTTCTTCACAAATAAACCGCACTGGACTTTAAAGGAAACACCACAGTGTGATGGGTGAGTGGTTTTGTTTGTTTGTGGCGTTCACGGTGACTCTGGGCTTTGTTCAGTTGTGGCGTGTAGGGAGGGTGCTGTCTGGGACCAACGGATTGTCGGCGTGTTCGCAGTGACTCAGTTGTGGCTCAGAGTGGGACATTGCACTCGCTTTTTCGGTTCATTCCTCTGTTCTGTTCCTCGTCGGTGTGGAGTGATGAGTGTGTCTGTGGGTGTTTTTCGCCGTGCGGTCTCTGTCTGCTCCGTGTGTGTTTGTGTGTTCTGCGGGTGGTGCGGTTTGTAGTTTACTGAAGTCGTGCTGGGACACCCGAGTGGATTCGTGTATAGGGCGCTCTGGATTGCGGGTTGTGCGGTCGTTTTTTGATGCGGTTGGAGGCTTAAGAGTGCGTCTATTAGCCCGGAAAATGCGGTATAAATCCTGCAGTTCAGTTCATAATTTTGGCCTCAATTAAGGCTGTGCAATTAATCGAATTTTAATCGCGATTTCAATTTGTGTGTCAAATGATGTCCTAACTCATATAATCAGGTTAAAGCTTAACAAAGTTTATTTTGGGATTTTTTTTTTTTATATAAATAAGTATATTTATTTTATTTTTTTATATACAGAGTTTGTAGAACAGCTGGATATATAGTTTAGTTACATACATTTATATATACATTTATGTTTTTCTATGACTTATTCTATGACCAAGTATATTCTATTTATTTTATGATTTATACATCGCAAAACTATTCTAAGGTACATGTTTGTAGCCTTTATTTATTTTCAATTTGAAAGTTTTGTGTAAATGATCAATTATCGAATAATCATCATTATAATGATTTTTTTTCCATAATCGAGCAGCTCTAGCCTCAATTTATTTTATTTTATTTTAATATACTTGCTGTCAATTCTAGCACTGCTTTTTGGAACTATAGATGTTCAAAAGAGCAAGCCCTTGTTGTCACAAGATAATTTTTCTCTTTTGTGCGTAATCTTGCTGCAGTTTTGCCTTGCGTGATCTTGCCCCACACCTGCCAATTTGTATTTTCTCCGTAACAATTATCGTCACTTCCTTTTACTCCCGTCTAATACCAAGAACCCAACCCGCCCCCTCTGCCCCCCGTGAGCCCCGCCCATGGGCACGTCCCGACAGGTGGTTGGTCAGCAAAGCACTGCGCTCACGCCATCGTACCTTCTCATTTTCAGCGCCGCGTTGGGATTGGACGAGTGGGTGTGTGTTGAAATGCCGTCTCTCCACCCCCTGAGAGTCCTGGCTCCCCCTTTGTACACACTGACACACTGACTCTTTGGCCTTGTGTGGGAGACATGAAAAGCCTTGGTGTGTGTGTGTGTGTGTGTATGAACCTGACCTTCTAGTTCTTTTCAGGGAGATAAAAGAAAGTCAATGAGCCATAACTATTAGCAGGTATTAGGTAAGGATCTCACACAAAAGATCTAGCTGTGGTTTAGAGATTGTGTGAAAGGCTGAGGTCAGGTGCCTTGTAATTAGTCATTTGTAAAGTCTCGTGATCAATGTACATAAGCAACCACATCATTTTGAGATTATGTAATGAAAAGACGAGGTTACAAGGTTCTATATTATGCAAAATGGACGCATGTGAGCTTTAAACCATGTTATGATGATGTTCCTTCATCAAAAACACACCTGGAGTTGGGTTTTGTTTCATTCACACAAGCCTTTACTATAAGTTTGTCTACATTTCCAAAGTTCAAAATGCTCTGTTCCACCTTCAGATGTCATGAAGTACTTCTCAAGTTAAGAATAGGGATGGGCATTCGATGAAATTGATTGATCGGGAGAATTAACGACCGATTTTTGATTAATCATTAATGTTTTTATATAATAAGTATCATCATTATTAGGGCTGGGTATCATTACGAAGTTGCCGATACGATACATACCTCGATACACAGGCCACGATATGATACATATCTCGATACAGTGCACTTTCGATTCGATATGATATATTTCAAATCGATTCGATACAGTTCAATAAAAAATAAAGGCTAAATCGTGGCTGTGATACTAAAAGTCTTTGTTAAACCACTTCTTGTGCAAAATTCATATGAAACACAAACATTTTAATCCTCAAAACAGTGAAAATGTCAAATGTGTGGCATAAATGAGTTTCCTTTCACTCCACAAGCAACAAAACTGCAGCACTGTAACAAAATAATTTAGTAAAGCACATGCAAAAATACTCTTGGCGATATATCGATACGGTAGCCCACGATATCGATACTATATCACCACATTAAACGATATGATATATCGATATTCCGATATTTTTGCACACCCCTAATCATTATTATTACTAATTTGCATAAATAAACTTAACTTTACAACATATAAACCATAAGCACTCTAGAGCCACATCAGCCTGTTTGACATTATAATGTGTTTAATGCAGCTTTGTGCAAGTAGAAACGTAATAAAACTGCATGGCTAATATGCATAAACTAAGTGAAGAAAAAAAAAAAAAACGCTCTCGTGCCGATGTGGTTCAGCTTTTGTCAGACTAAAGGACATGACTCAGTAGAATATAGGTGTTCTTTGTGAGACAAAGGGATGTTAATGCAGAAGGTGAGTCAGTTCTGTGTGTTGAGATGTTTTCAAAGATCGTACACGTGCAGGTTTAGCGCAGCTCTTTATGTTGTAGTAACCGGGTTGCAGTGTATACATGCACCATGAAGAAACCAGGACACTGATGTGCATGTAAACACACTCACTGAGTGGTACAATGTCTCCAAGGAGGTGCCAGAGCCCAAACGTGGGACTGAGGCCACAACTCCAGTGTTTGCGCTGTCAAACGCAGCTTCATATTTATGCACAAAAACCTACATTCGGTTTGTCGATTAGAAATGTACGTAATCAACGAAATTCTTAACGATCAATTATCGATTAGTCAACTTCATCCCAAGTTAAGTTCAACATCCCTAGTTAAGAGTTACCTTTTAGCTTTTGTTCAGTAGAGATTGGTGATTCGAGAGCTGAAATAATCCAAATGATTTAAGTGAAGGTGTAATGGAGTTTAAAAACCTAGTGGAGCACTTCCTGTAATAAGGTGGAACAAAGTGCTTTCTGATTGAGAGAAGAACATTTGTGAATAAATGGTCATTTTTAATTTCTTATTTGTAAATACATAGTGCTTTTCCACCTTCAAGGCACTCAAAGCGCTTTACAACAAGGAACTACTCACCATTCACACACACACATTCATACAGAAACTAGGAGTGAGGTGGGTTAAGTGTCTTGCCCAAGGACACAACGACAGCATTTATCTGTGGGAGCTAGAATCGTACCGTCAACCTTCGGATCAGTGGACAAATGCTTTAACCAAGTGAGCTCCTGCTGCACAAAAAACAACATATCTCCAGGTATTTCCAGGTTTTTGATGAGGAACGATCATAATAAAATAGATCAGAAAATATTTAAGTATTTGGCCCTTTAACACAAGTTTTCTTCTCACTTCTTTTAGAGAAATGCACTTTTCTGTTGTTTATGTAGAATGCACAGGATTAGTTTTTCTCCCTTGGCATAAACTCGAAATAAAAACATATCATTCACATTACATTGAGCAATGTTTAAGGAAAAAAAGTAACTTAAAGGGCTCATGTTAGCAGACATCACAACAGCCACATGTGCAAGATCATTTTACTGGCCAAACTTCCTTGTCAAAGCCTGATGCCGTCAGATTTCAGAAGCTAAGCAGTGCTGGGCCTGCTCAGTATTTGGATGGGAGACCACTGGGAATATCAGGTGCCAT